AGTAGGAAAGCCAATCCAGAACGGGGCTGGTCTGCTCAGGTCTGGGAAGGGGCGTGTGTCTGGGCTGCATGCAGTCTTTGCAGCTAAAAACTTCATTCATCCCATTTCCTGCCTACCTGATCTTTACATGCAAATTGTTAAATTTGTAATGATCCACATTTTCATTTTAACAGAATGCTAAATGTGTCACATTGCCAGCCTTAACTAATAGAGTTGTAAGGAATGGCTTCCGAAAAGGCTTCTTTATAAGTAGTTGATATCCTGAGATCACACTTCAGCCATAATTCAGTTTCTGAACTACTCTGTAAGTGACATCCCTGCAGTATTGACTTAAAGGAAAATACACACCTGAAAGTATTTCCTGAAAGACAAACCTCTCTCAGCAATTTATTCACACAATATAGGTGAGGGAAAGGCCTGAAAAAAACAGCTAAGCTCGGTTTGGGAAAGTCTGTCAATACAACATTACTGCTGAACAGAGTCCATATTCTACCTAACACACATGTGCAAAAATCCACAAAAAGTCAGAATTAAATATCTGACTCTGAGTGCAAAAATACTTCCCTCATCAATCCTTGCAAAAAGTCAGGATGTTTGGGAAGGGAAAAAAATCTCCATAAAGACAGTATAATTCAGGTACTGTTTGCCTCACAAGGAGAAAGAAAAATTAGCCACATTCAGGACACTGTGTTTTCCTCATAATCACTAACTAGAGGAAAAATCAAGTGGTGAGATGATCATATTTTTTCAATTATCATATATACAGAAAGCATCAACACACCAACATAATCAAACTCACTAAAAATCTTCTAGGAAGCCACTAAGTGGAGAGTCTCATAAACAAGAGAACTGAGGAAAAGTAAAAGCTACTTGCACGTGTCAAAACACAGGGAACTTTAAAACCGCCAAATCCTCTTGAATTTTCTGGACAGGCTGCATATACCACTTACCATTAAGATTATCATAAAGCAACAACAGCAATAGCCAATGTAAATTCTTTCAAATGCAATGAATATAAATTTGCCAGTGCTCCTTACACAAACAGAAAGCCACAAAACTTCCAGAAGTATTACTACAAACTCTAGTGACATCAGAACAGGACAGGATTCCCAAAAGCTTATTTCCAAGAACACAATGAGAAGCACTTTGTAGCCAGTATTTACTTCATTTTGCAACATTTACAGCTGTGTGCTCTAACAGTATATTTTCCTTTGCACTATGGGTGGAACATACTTCCTTTAAATTAAACTGTTTCAGTTTATATAGTACCTAGAAAGCACGTGGCGTGATCCAAGGGGTTAAGTGCTGATTTCAGGAAAACAGGGAACCTGAATATTCTTTTTTATAGTGTCTAATTATGCGTGCTAGAACTAACTCTTCATGGAAGTGTACAAACTAGACAAAACACACATCCTTAAAGATCAAAAAATAAGCTCCAGCTACTGAACAGTAAACATATTTGTGCATTCCACTGTTATCTTTTGCTGGCACTTAATTCAAATATTCAGGAAAAGATCCTTCCGGACAGATCCTTGGCATATAATTTAGGAATGTACTCTTACAAACTCTTCAGCTGCGTTATCACCACCCTGAAGAACCTCTTCTCTTTAAGACCACCTTGTAGGGTTTTTTTTGTCGTTTGAGGGCAGTGTACAATGTTGATTTAATAATTATACAATATAGTTTTAATGTAATTAGTTTTTTATGCCACACAAGTTGTTACTGTAATGAATTCTGAATTCTGTTTTGCAGCTTATGTTCTTTTATTACGGAAGGTATACAAGATAAAATGTTCCTTAGCAGTTCATCTGTACAGGTTCTTAGTCCCTGAAGTTCTGCTCTGATCCACTGTTTCTAATACCGTACTACTTGCAAAGACACCTAACTAGCAAGGTTCCTTAAAAGAAAAATATCGAAGCTGAATCCTTTCAATGAAAAAACCATTCTTGTTATAGGGAAGATTTAATGATGTGAAATTCACCACCTGCATTCAAGAGAACCATCCACACCCAAGGATTAAGAACTGATGTACGGAACAGGTAACAGGAACAAATGCTAAAGAATAAGGAACCATATTGCTGCCGATTACCATTAGAAGACAAAACATATGACCTACTGGAACCAGATATAAACAGATTACCTTCACAGGTATTTCTGTAACACTGCAGTATGATTTTACATTTTTAAGTATAACACAAATTCTGGGAAATACCAGAACTTCTAGGAATTTGGGAATTCTCAGAAGACAAAATAATTGTTTGATCTTGACTGACAATTACTATGAGCAGCAGTTAAGCACAGCATCAATATTACTCTTTTTTTGCTCTTACATATACAATGATGAATAAGACGTTTTTTCTTGGAGAGAACTACGGAAAACATTGCAATGTCACATCTTATGGGAAAAGGAAAGGTAAAAAAGAGGAGACACTTCAAAACAGAAGATAAAAAACCAACAAGTACCAAAAAGGAGATGAAGCCATGAGAGAGAGAAAAGTAGAAGCCATAAGGGAGGCATCTAATCAGCGTCTGTTCAGTGCCTAACCTGTCAGAGACCTCCGCCTATGATCAAAGCCTTGGAGGTAAAACGGTAAAGCAAAGGTTAAAACAATCCAGACGCGTAGATTGTATTCCATTTACTGTAGACATGCATCTCATCAACAGCAAAAGTAAATTAAATGATTAGACAAATTTAAGTGATAGAACCTCCCATTAAAGTCCTGGTATCCCTTTCTTTCACAAATAGGCTTTGGCAGTTTGCTAACTGACAGAGCTGGCCAGATAAAAGGAGTTTTAAATATCCTTGGGTTCTCTCTCTGGGTGATAAAAAACACCGTACTCTCAATCAAGAACACAAAACTCACGGAGAGAAATCATCATACTTGCTACATTGCACATATAACTCGCAGTAATAAATTCTTTAAATGATTAAAATGGAGTGCACAAGACTGTGAAGATAAAAACTTCACACAAAACAAAAACCGCCATCATCTTGCTAGATAATCTGGGACTTCTGCCCCTTTAGCGTTCTGTAGCTCATTAAAAGACAGCAAAAAAAGCATCACCTTACTGAGACATAGAAATTGTCCTAAATTAGCTTTACACTGTTACTTTTCTAGGCATGAGATATTTTCCCTATCTCATCTAATCTTGCATGCGTAGTCCAGACATGACATATGTTGAATTAAAGATAATTTTTAGAAAACTAGTTATTTCCAAATCTGAGCAATCAAAGAAAAACTTATATGCAGTTAACAGACTTCAGCAGACGCTGAAGTATTGCTGGAAAAAAAAAAATCAGAATTGAGATAATTTTTCAGACCTATTGAATGCATTTCTTAGCCTAGATTACAAGAGACAACCTACTCAAAAGATAAAGCAATACCTACAAATGGCATTCGCTTTCTGTCTAGGTCTGCCTGCTTTAATGAACCTAGGCTCATTCCCATTGTAAATTAATACATATCTTGGAACGCTAATAAAAGCTAGAACGTCTTTTGTCTGAAGAGATTTACAAAAAGAAAATGTCTTCACTAGGGAAAGCATTACAATAAGGGAAAAAGGATAAATTCAGAAACTCAACTGTATGCACATTAGGGACCAGTCTGAAAGAAAAACGTTTAACGCTCAAGTTCCACAAAATGTGTGTGTTCAAAACATCCAGCTAATACTCAGAGGTCCTTTGTGTCCCATCAATTCTTTGATAAAAATAGCAAGGAGAGCATAAAGTCACCCAGGAGATACTCAGAACGTTGTAGAAACAGGGCCTAAATTAGCAGTAGGGACCACCATCCACCCCCCTCACTGATCCAAAAAGAAGGTGCTATAATGAGAGTGCCACATCATTAGTCAGCTACGTACTAAAAACTTGGAACAACAAATGACACCAATTTTCAAAATCAGCAACAAACTCACCTCAAGGCACTAGTACCCTTAGTAAGGCAACTGATATAATCACAAACCGAATGAATATATGAAAGGCAAGTCCTCTAGGAGGGGATGAAAACTGGAATACATTAGTATCTGCAATATTTGTCTGGGCCTTGATCCATTATGTACTGTTAGCGCAAAATTACAAAATTTTAAAACAAATACCTTCTTTAAAATGGATAATGCTGTAGCATGTTAAAGCATTCCAAGTATTTCTTAATCTTTATGTAATTTATATTAAGCATACATTTGACCAAGAAGAATGGGATAAACCATTTGAAAATACTCATCTGTCAACAAAGAGATAACACCAGTTGATAAACAAGAACGGATATATACCATTTTTAGGGAAGAACAAAAGAATGACTGAAAAAAAAATCATCCTGCTTCCCTCCTAGAGGCTAATAATAAAGCAACTTTTGTACACAGGACATAAAAAACCCTAGCCAAACCAAAAAAAAAACTTTCTGAAAGACATGGCAAAGGACATTGCTGGATCACTCTTGTTGCAAATGGCGAGGTTTTTAGCTGCACATGTATTTCACAATAGCATTAGATTCTAGTTTTGCATTTCCTGTAATGGGTTTTCAGCTTCTTTTTTTTTTTTCCCCTCCTCTCCAAAGCAACAGGTTACACCACAATAAACGCCTAGCTCCTTTTGAAGGAAGATAGTCTTATAAAGCATAACAACCCTTGGAGGCACAAAAGTATCAATTGTGACAGGAAATTTACATTGTTACACAGCCTACCTGAGGCTTTTCATAAAAGAACAGGCTTCATACAAAAAAGACTCTATTACTATACACCACTCCTCCAGATGTTTTCAAAACTTTGGCACACTCAAAAAGGCAGAGAAAGAGAGAGATGGACTCCAAGAAAATATAATCAAAGGGCATTATAGAACAACGAGAAACCATACTGAAACCCTTTCCAGGGCTGAGAAGTAACAGTGGTAACAAAGGACAAAGACAGAGAAGAATGCTGGTTGATTTTCCTTGAATGTTGTCATGTGCAACAGAGGTGGCCTGGATCAGAGGGCAGTTTTCTTTCTAAGGGCAAGGTTTCTCTACCTTGCCGTTGCTGGCTGGACATGACCCGGGTAAGATCTCCTTGTGCTCGTGGCTTGCCTTTGTCTAGCCAAGAAGGACTGTCCCGAGCCTGTACTAGCCAGTCTGTCTTCCGCTGCTTTTTTATGCAGAGTCATTCCCTATGAACAGAGAGAAACTTATCAGAGAATATCAACACGCAATACTGAACACACCACTTACTTACGTTTTGTTTATTAGCTCTTCTTCACCAGCACTGACTATCCTAATTTGAATTTCAAACATGAAGCATTGCATTTTTAAGGATGAAGGCGCCTAAGATATGCTTCCTGACCCTTTTCAACGTGTTCCTTCTTTTTAATCACTGTCCAAGTTCAAAGTAACTGTAGAGAAGAAGGACCTCAACGCCTCAGATCTGAACACGTGCTTCTGCACACGAACACAGAGTACGTGAACTGATCTTGTGAAAAGTGTCTCCTCCGCATCTCCTTCAGGAAGTTGAGCTAGAAGAGTACTTTTCTAAATTCACCCTCTGAAAACACGAGCTTACTAAAAAAAAGGCAGGACCTCACTCTGAGTGAAAATATGCTTTTAGCAAAAGTTAGGATCTGAGAAATCTTCTCACTGTAGACCAGGAGGAATAAGGAAAGGGAAAAAATAAAGGATGAACACATTGTGATGTGCTGTGTGTAAAAGCAGAGGTTAGCTAAGAGGAAGAGGCAGGTAAAGCTATCACCACTTATCTTAGTGTTCACGACAGTCGTCGTGAATGAAAGAAGAAAGTAAATTTGAGCACTTCAGTTACTAGTGTAACTGAAGGGCTAGAATTACAAAACAGAAATCTGAGGCTTCCTTTCCTCCAAAATGTGCTGGTTTGGATTCTGAAACTTCAAAATGACACCAAAAACTTGTTTTTCATATTCTGAACTCTGGTTTAATTTGCTGTTTTCAGAACGACTTTCTTCAGCTTTTTAAAGTTCATTTAATAAACTCCAAGGTTATCTTGAACACATAGGAATATACTCTTATAGAGTGAGGACTTAAAAATGATTAAAAGCATTGTGTGTCTGTCTGTGCGTGTCTGTGCGTGTCTGTGCGTGTCTGTGCGTGTCAGATGACACATTTCAAACCAAAATTCACAGATAAATGCAGACTGCAATAAACAACACAGAAACAAGTAATATTAACCTTTTCAATTCTTTAAAATAGAAATTCTTACCATATTGTACCAGGCACTAACGATAAGTTTCTCCTCCATCTCTCTTTGACTCTTTGTTTTTTCATATTCTTTCTGAAAAACCCCCAAAAGCATATATTTAAAACAAAGTATATTAAGTATTAGAGAAGAACAGTCAATGCCTTAAAACCACTGAGGAAACACCAAATATCTACTGAAAAACATGGAGCTTACCTCTAACGAATGAAACAATCTGTCCTGTTCCTGTAATTGATTTTTCAGAGCCTGAATTTCAGGAGCTGCACCTTGGTTTTGTTTAGGATCTAAGGTACGGATGACCTGTGAGAGAAAAATCAAAGTTTGCTTTTAATTAAATACTGCAAAAGACATCTAACTGAAGGAAAGGACATCAAGGAATCATAACTACGTAAGGTAGGCTAAGAAATACAAAAGTGACTTATGTCAATGGTACGAAATGACACTTCATTGTGAAAAAGAGGGAAGTACGGTTTTAAGAGGCTGACTAATACAACACAATCTCAACAGCCAGGGTGACGACGGCTTTGTCTCTGAACACCAGTCACGAAGTGTGAAGAGCATCTGAACTGTTCTCTCTTACACGACTGTCAAACAATATTGCTGATAGGAAAAACTGACACCTACGAGGTTCACAGAAGCACTTCCTACCCCATCTGCACTATACTGGGACCACAGTGGAGGAAATGTTTTCTCAAAGGCCCTTCCTATAGCTAAGGGTTATCTACCTGTTTCCTGTCAATTTTTCACTCAGCGTTCAAGTTCCGTTAAGACAAGGAGCATCCTATGGTGCACGCACGATGACTATGCTACTAAATAAGATGCAGCAATATCCAGTTACATTCTGAAGTGACATCCATCGCAGGTAGCATTTGTGTGCTAAGAAGCACGGAGCTAAATCACAAACAAGTCCAGTAAAAGGTCTAGATTCCTAAGTTTGCCCTAGAAAATAGCAGAAAACTTCCTAAAAACCTGTGGATACAGGGAGAGAGATTTCATATTTTTTTCTACTTATTTTACAACGGGGAGGACCCCAAGCACTGAAATAAAATAATCCTCTACATTTTAGTAAGTCATTTCTACTGGATGGTACTCATGGAAGAAGCCTCGTAAGAAAGTGCACTGTGTTTCTAAGAAAATATGTATTGGAGTTAAACGTAACTTCTAAAGCGGAAGGCTATAATGATTGTATCCATCTTCACAAAAAAAATAGTGAAAAGTTGATGAGAAGACCACAAAAAGGTAACCTAACTGAAAAATTATTAATGCTACTATTGTATAACTCACCCTACGTTAACACAGCACTTACAAACCACCAAGTCCTACTGAAAGAGTAAATCGTACATCTCTTCCGTTAGAATACTCAGAAGCTGACAGCAACACAAGGTATAAAACAGAAAAGAAATACGACTTGTTGAGATTTCAAAAAGCCTTTGAAATGTCACAAGAAGTCACTTAGGAAGCTATGTTTGAAACCATAATATCGCCATTACAAAGCTGACAGTGACCCTCATCCTGAATTTCATGCTTTAATAACAGCCTCCTTCTCTCCAGAAGCACATATGAAGTAGAAGAGAAAAATGGTGAAAGTCAGTAGAGCTCTCATAGGTGGCTCAGTTAAAAAGATTACTTTATTTAGAAAAAGAAACAAAATACACACTAAAAAGGTTTCTAAACCAGAAGATGAACAGAAAGCAGGGCAAGAGAAAGAAAGTAAATCCAAATTTAAATCAGTAAAGATGACACCAGCACACGTCCAATTATCTCTGGCTGTAAGCTCTGAGGATTACGACTGACAAGAGTTTGGCAGAGCCCAAAAAAGAAAAAAAAAAAAAAAGTAATTTATGTGAGCAATTAAATCTGAATGAAATATACAGCAGCTAAAAGCCACATTTGTAAAATGATGTATCAAATTACCTGCTCCAGGTAAGAGAGGTATGATTGACTGCACACCATGGGAAGCTTACCTCACCCAGAAGCACACGTGAAAGAGATGTAGTCACACATATAGGAAAAAAACCCAAACTTCTCCTTCCCTTTGCACCCATTCGTGTCTAACAAAAGAAGCCATGCTGATGAAAAGCAGGGCTTGTTGGTTCAGGTCAGTACTTGATGGCACTGAACTACACTCCTGTGTGTACAAAGAGATGTAACTCTTCATGACAATTGTGCCAGAAGTCCCATGAGCAAATGCCAACTGAACGGCATTTTTGCTCACAGAGCTTTCTCCTTTTGGGTTGGTATATATGGGTCATTTTCTGATTCTGGAATACCACACAGCTGTTTTGGTTATTTCTATACCACTGGTCCTAGTGAGGACATTGCTTCAACCAATCTACATCATTCACTGACCAAAGTCTGGAAGAATTTCCACAGAGAAACAGCACTGGAAAGGGTTTAACACACTCTCCTTATCATCAGCTGGCACTCGTTATCCTTAAGGAGCTTTGTCTGGGTAACTCTTGAAAATCTGTAGCAGTGGATGCACATGCGCAGGGTTAACAAAAGGGGTTTTGGATAGGTAGCAAAAGGGGATGATCACAGATTAAAAAAAAAAAGAGAGTAAAAGTGTCTGCAGAAGAAGAAATCAACATTAAGCACTATGGTGGTAAGAAGATGTAAAGAAATTCACTAGGCCTTTTCTTTGTCTTGCTACTGTAAATACAGATATCTCACTTCATTTTATTCCTGCAGAGTGGAGGTGTGGTGCAGCCTATCCGAGAGGGATCATTAATACAGAACAAAGACACTTACGCTCTTGGCCTTTTCCAAATACTTTTTGTATCGCTCTTCCATTTGCTTCATTTCTTCCTCCTTTTTCCGCAAAGCTTCTTGTAACTCTTCAATTTTCAGTGCTTTTTGTTAGGAGACACACATTGAAGACGAAAATAATTATATTGTCCTTATTTTCATGTTAATCAGACATTAAAGGCACAGCTTGGACTTATTTCAGGTAAGAAAAGCTTACACATGGAATCTGATATAGAAGCTGCAACAGGTTTAACTACTGAACAGTTCAGCAACACACGAAAAATGTGTACCCCTCTATAATCTCATGAGGTAGCTGTTCTGTACAAAATTTTTGCCTGCTTAAATCAGGAAAAATTAAATGGAAATGGAATCATAAATCGATAACATTATTGAACTGACTTAGAAAAATGAGTTTGTTGCCGCATTTTAGATTTCAAAGTATCCTAGTACTGTGACTCAGATAATTAAGAGTTTATCTGTTCTAACCGAGAGGCAGGATTCTGGACGTGCAGGACTTTGGCTCAGATCTTCTGTACTGTAACATGGAAAAAGGTTTTGTGACGAAGAACTATGACACAAAAATACTCATTTTTTTCCCCCCCCAGATCTTCTCAAGTGGCAATACAGACCAGCAGGACTGCACAACTGCACAACCCTTTCCTTTGCTTATATAAAAATATGCTGAGTCACTACTGCTTGTACAAACTACACATCATCTCAGATCTCAGAAGAAGATCGATTTCATCATCCTGGATCAAAGAGCACATAACAACTGATGCCTGGTTCTCAGACAACGTTAGAATGCATCACCTTCATTTTGCATTGCTCAAGGTACAGCTAGAGGCACAAATACTTTTATCCTATCGAGACAAAAGCTCAGACCTCGATTTTTAAAAAAGCAGCTTGTAATTCCCATAAAGGAGGTACAGAAGCCTTAACATGTCCTAGTCAGGGACTCAGAACTAACTGCTGTTAAATGCTCTCATATTCAGGCATATCAAGTCTGAAACGGTTACAGGGTTGGTTCTTAGCCAGGGTTCTTCATGAAGTCCCTGAACTTCACCTCCAAGAGTTCTAACATTTTTAAGAAGTGAAATTTTATAATATGTTCTGTGGTTGTAACTCAGCGCTAACGAAAACTCTTTTTGGATCTAGAATTTACATAATGAATTCTAAAGTGGTATTACAATCTTCCCAGACTTTTGCATGAATAAAATTGCTTTGATATTAATCAAATAAGCTACACTGGCATCAAGTATTTGGGTTTTTTGGTAATAAGTAGGCTTGACAAACAACTACCTATCTCCTTCACTGTTTCTCAGGATATAGGCAGAATCAACGATATAACGTACCCATCAGCCATTTGCAACTGGATGCTGGTGCGTGGCTGTGATCTGACCTATTGGCAGAAACTCTACATTCTCATAGACCTACGTCAAAAAAAATTTTCTCGAGTTGCAACAATGATCACTCTGCAATCTGAAAACATACTGAAGTAATATATATACTGGGAATAAAAATAACCTGGAGGTGGCAGCAAGGGTTTCTTAAAATAGGGTATCAGGAAACATGACAGAGTTCTTAACAGCTAAGGTTAAATGACTGGTGATGAACAACACTGACTCAGTACTTCTACGGCCACTGTCATTTCTTACTATAGCGGGCTCTAAAACACGATCTACTACGCTTCAAGAATTAAAAAGTATCTATTTGGTTTCCATAACGTCCAGAAAAATTAACACACTGTTAATGCCATTTAAAATGTACGTTTTGTTTGTTTTACACCTTCTATAGATATTAGAGTAAAAGACCTTGATGACCTGCATATGAATTACTAGACAATGAAAAGAAATGGAGCATGTATCAGTAAACTCACAACTGTTATTACATCTTGGTTCCAAGTCCTCAATAATAGCTCGTTTCTTCTGTAGCTCATTGTTAGCTTCATGGAGCTTCTCACTGTTACAAACCACAAAAGCATATATTGTTTTCTCAATATTCTTACTGTGTCTGAATGAAAATTACGTGGCAGAAAATACCCCTCAGACAGTCAGCATGATTGACTTTTGGCTGTAGGGTTCGAGGAGAAATGACAGGTGGATCAATGCCACCATGCAAATGTTTGTAAAATAAACAAAAAAAGTGTTATGGTATTTGAATAATTGTAACAACAAACAGCTTCATTCTCAGCCCAGAATTATAAACCTATTTTAGAACTTACAGTAAATTGTACAACGCATGCTTGCAATGAACACTGGTAACAGAGATTACATTAAGGAAGCCTGGCTTAGCCCCTATGCAACAGAAACTACACATATTTTGGTAAGCTAGGTAATAAGTGAACAAGGCTACTCGTTTAGTAAACTGCAAAATTAAAAGCAGAACAAAATTGAAACACTAACTAAAACGCTATCTTTTATGCCACAATATATACTACAAGGTAAAAAGGTAAATTTGGTTTACATCTAAATAGTTTCCTCAGAGCAAAATGAGTTATTCCTCTGGAATAAGGATTTACATGACATTAAGTAAAGTTTTCTAACCACCACAAAACGATGGTTCGTTCACAGCTCCTTCTACTTGGGTAAAGGTTTTCTCTAAAAGAAAATAACAAATAACAAATACACTGATATTCCTGTACTGTCTACATTTCTCTTACTTTTATATATATATAAAAGATATATATGTACATATATATATGTATCTTCTAGATGTATTATTGAGTGTCTGCCCTCCCACTGCTGTCAATGCTTAAGCATCTGCTTCCATACGGAAAAACAAATCATTTCATATGGTAAACAAAGACAGACAGACAAAATACTTACAGATGTTCTTCTAGTTTCTTTTTCAGAAGAACTGACTAAAACAGAAAGTTAAATGTGTCATTTTAATACACTGTGGAGCTTTAATATGATCTCAGTTAATTTAAACATATAATTTTGACAACAGTAATCAAAATTCAACTCTTTTACTTCACTCAGTTCTAGATCATAATTAAGAGCCCTAGATCATAATCAAAAGCCATCCTCTGTGGTAGCTATTCTTCCTTTGATAGCTAGGTAACTTTCCTGAAATTAGAATGCTTTATAAATTTACAAATATTTTCCTGGGAACCGGATCAGTTCCCAGGAAAGACTGTAAATGACAAAATTCTATGGCAGTTGTTTTCATGTCTTCAGGATTCAGTACTTCTGTAGATTAGACTCAACAAATGTATTGGAAATTAGAAAGTGCAATAAAATTTGCTGGAAGAGCTGTCCTACCAATGTAGCAAAGCAATGTGCACAGAGACTTACTTGAAGGAAGTTCCTGTCCTCATAGAAATTAGCAGGAGTAGGGTGTCACTGACTGGAGCATGGCAGAAATGTTAGTCTCAACTGCTCTACTTTCCCTGTTTCCTCCTTTAGTGTTTGTTTACAGGCACGTAAATATCATACAACTTACAGTGTTCCACTTTTTGGTTAAATCACATTTGGATAAGCTCTTTAAATATAATCTTCAAAGAAAATTTTAGTTTAATCCTAAACTCACTTTGCACACAGTGAGCGTCTTTCAAAAAGCAAAATCCATGTCTATAAACTTAATGTAGTGTTAAGTAAATAGAAAGCCATACTCACAATAGCCTTGAGCAGAAGCCCATGCCAAGAAACAGAGATGACATTAGTACAAAGCAAAACAGCAGCCAACAGAAGAAATATTTAGTTACTCATGAACAGAAAAAGTTAAAGCTATGCGTTTTTTCAAACATGCACGTTTTTCTCCTCTGTTCTCATCAGCAGTTTCATCCTGTAACATTTTCTAAAACGTTTCACTAAAAACAAAGATATAACAATAGGAAAAAAGCACATTGGTAAATCATTTATTGAAACCATGAATTCAAAGGAGAGCAAGTGCTGTTTTGAAAAGTCATTTTAAAACAAAAGTCACACTAGTAACAAAACGGAAGAAAATACGCAGTCCACGGGGCTACAACCAACATGAGGAGATGCATAGATTTTGGTGGAGTGATTGTGAATCGTGGTATTTTCACACGGATTAAATACAAACGCAGACTATTTAAGTCAGAGACAGCCTTTTTGTTTTGTTTTTATCCAGTACCAATCACAGTGGGGCTCTAGCATGTGACTGATGCTCCAAAATGCTACCACAATACAAGATAAAAATCAAAGCGACTTCACTGCTTTTCCTGCCAATACTCTTTCAACACCGGGTCAAACATACAGCCAATTTGAGTGTGCAGCCCCCCCAAAAGCCTTTAGCTTTGTTGTAGCATAAATACTTCAAAATACTGTCTTTGATCACATTCTTGTGTCATGCCCTTTGATTACTTCAAAGCTGCATTTTCTTACTGCACTATAAAGAGGCAGCGGAGAGCAGGAAAAGTACACCAATGGGACTCCACTGACTTCAGAGACACAAAAATTTAGAGCAGCTAAGGATCTGAAGGTTTTGGCCATTTGGCTTTCTCTTTTCCAGCCCTCCGAAGAACGGCAGCGATACCACCTCTTCCATACCGATAAATGGTTGTATGCATCTTTCTGTCCAACAGAGTGTTTAAATCCACAAGGTCACTTACGCGTGATCCCTTAAGGGACTATTTATTGATTTAGTTAAGGAAGGAAAAGGTTGGCTGCAGTGCCATTTTCCTAGGGATTTTAAGAAAGTGAAAAGTGACCTCAGCTTTTGGTTTGGGGCTTTGCATTGCACTCGGGCTTATTTCAGTAGGGACATGAATGACCCCTTGCCAAAACTGTTTCCACTGGCATATGCTCATGTTATTTGCATACTACCAGGACTTCTCCCTTCCATATAGACAGATCAAATGTTCTCATGGACAAGAAACCAACAAAGATTCACAGTGCAAACAATTTAAAGAAATGGGACAGAGTTTACCCAGGTAAAAGATAAGGCAAAAGGTGCTTTCAATGTCCTATGGTCATATTCTGTCCTTTAACGAAGTCAGGCTCCTTAGGGCACAGATCCTGTGACTTACACACACACTTTACCCACACAAAGATCCTGCCTATGCATGTAGCAAGATACATAAATTCAAAGAAATAACAGTGAATTACTTTAAAAACAGGCTTTTATTTATTTATTTATTTATTTTTAAAAGTCATAGCCTCAGAGTCAGATTTCTGGACCTTTTGTGCATAACAACTAATTCCTATAGAAGCTGTTCTTGAACAGGAAGAATATAGCTTAAAAACAAACAAACAAATAAAATTAAAAGTTTTATCTAATTTTGAGCTAGCTTCACACTTAACTTTATTCAAAGGTTCTGTTCATTTTTAATAAAAGAACATTTCTATAATAAAACTGTAAAAACTAGCAAGCATAAAACAGCTACTTTGCTTTTTTCTTGCAAATGTTAAACAATTTCATTTATGAAACCCCAGAAAAAATATTTATCGGGTGATTTTAGAAAATAGATATCCTCTCCAATATTTATTTGCTATCTTTCCCATATATCAAAAAAAAAAAGAGGGAAAAAAGACTTTTTGCTGGAAATTTATTGCATGCTTACGCACATTAAAGAAAGAGGTTTATAACCTTTTAGGGGGGACAAATTTTGGTTTTGCTCTGCATATTAAGGCCAAGCTCTGTCCTGAGGTTGGGCTAAATGAACGGGATGTGAGAAACTACTGCACGTGACATCTCAAAACTGGTGGATGTGACAGGTAACAGCGTGAGAAGCAAACGAAAGTTACAGACAGCAACCACGAGGGATGGCCAGATTTCACAGGCAGCTAAGAGTTACGCGCGAAGTGACTGAACTTCCTAGGTAACTGTGAACAGACACAGAGAGTATCTGGGAACTTTCAGGGAACGGATGCTAACCAAATCCACAGGACCTAGTAACTGTGTATCAGTAATAACATATAAAGCCAACATTGCCAACGTAACCGTGGGAGATACCAGCTTTGGGTGCAGATGCATTTAGACTGGGTCCAATAGGGGAAGACATACTTAAGGTTGGATTGTTCGTTTGGGAAGGTAGTAGGGCCAAGAAAGGGAGAACAAGGATGGAGAAAGGGAGAGTCAGGAAATGGGGACAGGGTTAATAAGGTATACAAATGATGTCACCAAGGCTGTTCAGGGCTACCTGCTGAACAGTCCTGCACCTGATCACTGCATCCTAGAGATGGACAATGCATCAAACCTGCTCTTCTGCCCATATCATCCGTAACTGACTCAATTCTGTCGTCGGGAGTCGACAGAATCGTTGGGGGCAGCCTCTCCCTGCAACACCCAGGATGGACTAAGCACGCATCCCAACATGATGTGTCAGTACCCACTCCAGACCTAACTTTGGCTTCCTAACTCCTTCAACTTCAGTACAGAAACTAAAACAGCTTCCCCATTTGGGTCTTGGCAAGCACTATAAGTACTTAATTTCCAGCGGTACTTCCTGGGCTGAGATATGCTTTTTGTGCAATCTTAAAAACTATTTCAACATAGAAAAAAAATAAATAAAACAACTCCCTCCCACCCCTGCCAAACCCTCATCACACCCTTCTGGACTGAATACAAAAGGAAACTTCAGGTTTCCAGGCTGATCATGCTTCCATTGTAAATGTACCAAAATAAGAATTTTATTGCACTGTTTTGGAAAGTTGAGAACTGGAAGAAACATACTCGAAGTTATCAGTGAACTGCATGCTATGTCCTTCCTTATCCTTTTACCCATGTTTCTAAAGGATTGTTCTTTTTCTAAGGATAGCTTAAGGATAACACAGGATGAACCAACACAAGTCAGTGTGCCCTCAAAGCTGGGTTTAACTTTGAGGCTGGCCCTGCTTTGTGTGTGGATGAGTTGTCCATACCTCCAGAGGTCTCTCCAACCTTAAGTATTCTGTGATGCTACGCTTCTGCTTCTGTAAGAGTAAGTGCAGACCTATACACCAAACTCTACAAGATAGGCCATGGTCAGACCTACACAGAAGCCAGGAATGCAGCTCTCACACCATGAACTTTTGCTCTGCTTCAGCAGGCCTGCCTCATACACGCAACAAGTCGTGCAACTCCACGGGGTCGTGATGGGTTGTATTCTGCTGTTAGCAGAACTACCTCAGATTATGCCTACACAGGCTGTAACCAACCTCACTGAGCGCACTGCAAGACATAACCTAAACTGCTGTCCAAACCAAAGCCTCCAAAAGGGAGGGAATTAAAACTGTAATAAATAAAGCTGTGTTTACACACTTAGGATCTGAGAATAATTTTCACATTCTTACTCACCCTGATAAATTTGAAATGACCTATAATCAAGACACCAAAGAATATCTTAGACTCACATAATAGTATGGACCTTTTTAAAAATGATTTCTAAGTTACTTCGAAAAATATTCTCACTGGAGCCCTACAAGGAGGTTTACTTTCATATAGTTTAATCTAGGAATGAAAAGGATAAATTAAATTAAATTAAATTAAATACACTCTTAAACGAAAATAAGCAGCTAACAAAAACTTTTATTGTTTCATCCAAATTAGTTAAAATAAAAACACAAAAATAGAAAGCAATATACTACAACCTGTTGCCAATTAACAAGGAAATGCAATCAGACTGTGAATGTACAGCGTGGATGCACCTTCCCCCAAATCACCACTTCCAAGAAAGTTCTAGAGCTGCTTCTCTCAAATGCATGAAATAGGAAAAGCAATTTTTGAGTGGAAGACTGAAAGTTGTTTTTCAACACTAACTCTGCCACAGTCTATATTTTCATATTTAGAATATGTTACACTAAGGGATCCATCACTTGACGTTTTTAGTTTTGACTTGCATGCTTCTTGCATTAATACATTTATATCAGCAATTAGGGGGCTTCCATTGGCAGGAAAGGCTTTTACTTCCATTAAGAAAAAGTAAAACAAAAGTAACTTAAGATAATTTATTCTAACATGGAGAATTAATATGTTTGTAATTCCCTGTAGAAGTCTCTGTTATAGTAAAGGAATTATAATAATGCTGAACTCCCTGCTGGAAAGTCATATTGAATCAAATGAAACCTATTTGATTCCTTCTCTACATAGGACATTTTTATATATATATATATATATTTTTATGACAAATGTCTTATGTCACATGTCTTATTTAGACAAATATAATTCAATGTTAAGGCCCTAATAGTGAATATGGAAAACTATTGGAAATCTCCTTCTCCATATTTCTTCACAACAAGCAGAAAGTGTTACATAAAGCGGAATGTTTGAATAATGATAACTACCTGAATGCAAGTTTGATGCACATTTCTACTTACATCTTCAGCTTTTGAACCTTGATCCTGCAAAGATTTTTGTAGTTCTTCAACCTGGGATTGTACTTCTAGAAGTCTCTGATTTACCAACCTAAAAAACAGATATCATCCCATTTTTCAGAAAAAAAAAAAAAAAAAAAAAAACAAAAACAGCCGCAAGATAAATCCTGAGACTTTCAGAACCATCTTTTCAGGTAATCTATATAAGATATGCAACTCTGTTTTATTCACTGAAAATTTACCACAGTAGTTAAAGCATGCAGCAGTTTCAGGGATAATAGAGTGTAGTCTCCCAGAATATTCTGAAACTTTTCCAAGACAACTAAGGTAGATGTAGGTATGGCAAGAAATTACTTCTACATAGATGCAACAGAAATTTCTACTAGCTTATTGCTTTTACACAACCACAGAATCACAGAAACTCACAGGCTGGGAGGGACCACTGAGGGTCATCTAGTCCACCACCTACTAAAACATGTCCAGCTAGAGCAGGTTGCTCAGAACCGTGTTCAGTCAAGGCTTGGGAGGAGGGCCTCTCTTCCAGCAGCTGGACACCCTTCTGGGGAATTTTTTTTTCCTCTTATGTTCAGTCAGAATTTTCCACGCTCCAGCTTATGTCTTCTGCCTCCTGTCCTTCCAGTATCCATCTCAGAGGAGTCTGGCTCTGTCTTCTTTACACCTTCCTATTCTTGTCTCTTCTTAAGGCCAAATCCAGTTCTCTCAGCTTCTTCCTGCATGTCACGTGCTCCAGAATTTCATTATCTTAGTAGCCTTCTGCTGGACTTACTTCAGTATGTTAATCCTGTCTTGTACTGGGGAGCCCAAAACCGCATGCTGCATCCAGATGCAGTCTCACAAGCGCTGACAAGAGGGAAAGAATCACTTCCCTCCAACAGCTGTCTGGGGCTACAGGGCTCCTGGCTGACACACTCCCATTCGCTGCCCACCAGGACTCCCAGGGCTTTTGCCACGGAGCGGCTTCCCACCTGCTGGCCCCAGCCTGCACCATTGCTGGGCTCCTTCCACCCACGAGAAGGGCTTGACATTTGCCTATGCTGAGCTCCAGGATGTTCCTGTCAGTCCATTTCTCAGACTGTTGAGGCCCCTCTGAATAGCAGCTCTCCCTGTGAGCATATTGACCACTGCCACGGCCTGGTATCATCCTCAAACTTGCAGAGGATGCACTCCCTCCCATCATTCAAGTTGGTAATAAACATGAGGTACAGTAACAATCCTGCTGTTGACTCCTGAGGAATCAGCTGCCATTTGGACATTGTACCGCTGGCGACGACCCTTTAAGCCCAAAAGTCCAACCGATTTCTCACCCATCTTACATCCACTTATTCAGTCCATAGCTGATCATTTCAGCTATAAAGATACCACGGTGGACCACGCCAAAGGCCTCACCAAAGCTAAGGTAAGCAACATCCACTGCTCTCCCCTTCTTCACACAGCCAGTCATCTCATTGTAGAAGACAAACAGGTTAGTCGGGTTTGATTTGCCTTGGGTAAATCTATGTTGGCTGTTTCCAATTACCTTCTTGTCCTTCAAAAAGATTCCAGGAGAATCTGCCTCATGAGCTTCCCAGGGACTAAGATGAGGCTGACCATCTTAGTCAGCCTCGTCAGACTACCAGTCTGTAGTTCCCCGGACCCTCTTTCTTGGCCTTCCTGAAAGTGAGTGTGGCATTTGCCTTTTTTCAGGCATCTGGAACCTTTCCCAATCACCATGACCTTTCAAAAATGATACACAGCAAGCCTTGCAATGATAACAGCCAGATCCCTTAGCACCCTAGAACGCTTCCTATCTGGTCCCATAGACATATATATACCCACTGGCTTGAGTACTCCTTAACTGTATCTTCCTTTATAGCAGGTAAAGCTCCATTCTCATAGACTCGGTCAATACGCTCTGTGACCCGAGAGGACAGACATTTCCAGTGAAAACTGAGACCAAAAAAAAAAAAGCACTGAACCCCCGCCTTTCCCATATCCTTTGTCACTAGGTCCCTGTTTGATTAAGCACTGGATCCACTTTTTCCTTTCCTTTTGCTGCCAAAGTACTTACAGAACCAATCAAATCCTGTCCTCTCATCTTCCTTCTCCCTTCCACAAAGAAGGATTAGCATAAGGGAAGTTATAAGGTTTCTATATAGGTTAAATCTAAACAGAAAATGAACCATTTTATTCCAGGAGACCCAGTATCTTCAGGTTAAGTGACAAGTCCCAACTCTAATCTTTTAAGAAAATATTAATTTGTTACAACAGTCCTAATATTGTAAGTTAGCTGTATTATAGACTTGAGTTTTGGTACCAGAAGGTCTGAGGATACATTCTAGAGGACACACGGCTGCTTCTGTTTACTGTGTGAGGTGGATTTTTACATCTTTCAGTCTGCCTACCTTCATGGGTTCGACACACATTTATGAACATTAACACTGTCAATTATTGCACAAAAACAGATATACCAGATACACCAGATCCTTCTGCCATTTTAACACAAAACCAGTTTCTTGATGCACTGGAAAACTGCTAGTCACCAGTGCTGTCAAACACGGTAGGATTCCTGCCTGACCATGCCCATGATGCTGATGATCTTTAATTGGGAACTCAGGTACTTTTTTTCAAAGTTGGAGGTGGAAAACCTTTTTTCTGCTTTTGATGAAGCAGCGTGTGTCCAAGTAACTATATTTGTGTCAGCTTGTCTACTGAAAGACCACAAACGGCAGGCTAGCAGCAGCAGATGCCAACCTCTTTCCGACAGTACAGAGAGTAGATAGTACAGCTGCACCCGAACTTACGTGCTGAAACTGTTCTTACTCGTCATAGCATTTTGTAGATGTAGCAAGACAGTTAAAAGCTACTGCCTGCAACAGTGTGAGAATATTCAGAAGTTAAAATCATGAGAAAATTTATATCATCTTGAACTTTCATAAAATACGCATTTTTACAAAAGCTGAATCATCTTGACGGCAGCTCTAATCCCTGTCAAAATACTTCTGAAGAACAAAAAGAGGAAACACAAGAGACGAGGGGAGAATGCACAGGGAACAAATGCATAGTAGGAAGGTATGTGATAGTCTCTTCATTATACTCAGTTTGCAGAAGGAGAATCTGAAGAAATGCATGGTACCTGCTGGGACCCTCTGCATCCTTTCACTTGGAATCCCTTATAGAACTCTTCAGCCCTTCAGGCTCCCGATATTGAAACTGCACTGAAAGGCTAAGTAGCCCAACAGCCTGGCTGAACTATTCTTACAGGGGCTAGTCACTTTAAAAAAAAAACAAAAAAACAGGAGGAACTTTAACCTGACCACAGTCTCCTCCAGTCAGAAGTGTATGGCACTGTTAAAGAGTCATTGGAATAGAGGAGAATATCCCCTTACCTGTTCTCTGTCTCCAGTTCATTCTTCCGTAAATTTGCATCATCAAGCAGGCTCTGCAACAAGGCGATCTTTTCATTGTCAGAACCTTCCTGGTTCAGCTTTAACATCTTATTCTCATGCTGAAGGCGAATGAGTTTCTCCCTAAAAACAGAAATACTATTTGCTAGAAAAAGTACGCTAATTTCTATAAAGAAGAAAACAGTTGACCGCAGGAGGTGTAAAGATAATGTAAAGATCATCTTTACTTCTTTGAGAGAGAAAGGTGAAACAATCGTATCTCTAAGATGCCCAAATTCAGACCTGCTTAGGAGAGATGTAATTGTAGAAAGCACAACAGAAGAAAGTTGCCTGAATGGTCGTATAGATCTCAGACAAACTGGTAAGTACGACAAAGAGATAGGTGTCAAGTATGAAGGGAGGTTGTAATCTCAGTTGTCACTGAACAACTGCATGAACTCGGGCAAGTCACTTCCCCTCTGTTGGCCTGTTTCTCCTCATGTCACTTGACTTGTATATTTAGACCCCAGTTCAACTGACAGCCCACAGAGTGAATCTTGAGTGCCTCTTGAAATTCTCACAAGTCTGCCCCTTTTCTCTGTAAGACAGAAAAAGTCAGCTGAGCAGAAAATCCACTTTGAATACACAGATTCTCCCTTTGCTAATTCAGTCAGTTCAGAGACCTAAGCTCTGTCAACACGGAGATGACAGGAGAGCCGCAGCAGCTATTCCTATGGGTAGGCTGCCTCCTGCAGCCTTCCTACTTCATCAGCAGAAGCAGCAGTCCAGACCTCCAGAGCAGGAAGTACCAGCCTCACAGCAGCCACTGCTACCATCCGCGACTATGAAGTAGACGAGGAGGCCACGTTTAGCAGCTCCAAACAGTCTGCATGAATGTATGCTTCTCTAAAATCCATCTTTAGCTCCTGAAGACGAAGAGACAGTGAATCTCACTGCCGTCATTTACAAGGTGTCATTTAGATATTTAAGGTGTTTAGGGTCCTGTTCTCTCTCTTACAAATCATGTGCAAGGCATCATGCAGTAACTCCGCATGCTACTAATACTGCCTCAAAATAGCACTCTTCTCTGCTGCTCCAGACCAAAATTGAAAGGAATGGCTCTTTGCAGCAGCGTGCAGCAATTCAGTTCTTCCCCATTATCAGCTTGCTAGAGAGAGATCCTTTTACCACTCACAAAAGGACAAGTTTTGACCCCAAACTAAACTTTGCGAGTGTTGAAATAACTGTATCAATATTCGTAGAGAAACACATTTAAAAAAACCCTAAAGAGCTAGCAGATTTCCAAGATGTCGCTGTCCTTTAACGACTTTAATGCAAGTTACAGTGATACCAGGCGTGCCGGTAAGGCTAAACGCAGCCTGCAGCATCTTAAGCCATAGCGATTTCCAGCTCTTTTTCTCCTTCTTTTTAATAGTATATGCCTCTTTTAATGCCATAAAATACATGGAATTTAAATCTCCTCTTCACTTTGACAATTTTAGTGTTTTTCCCTCATACAACACCACTGTTACAAACATTTTTGTCTGTTAACGCGTATATAAGTTGCAGTTATATGAATTCTAAGCAGGAAAAGAGATACAATTTGAGAGGGAAGGGTTTTTTGTTTCTCCTTCTGGAGCACAACAGAAAACCCAGGAGAGGCCAAGTGCATTTTGTCCTAAGCTTGAGGGGTACTGTTGTGTAGAAATCCAAAAGGAGAGAAAATAAACAATAACTGCAGACATTTTCTAATGGTGGAAAAAAGATGAAATTTGTTATTTAGGGACACACTCTAAAGGTTAGGTAAAACAAAGCACGCATCAGCTTACTTGATTTCAGGAGTAACAATTTCTGCTGCTAAACTGTCTGAAGGTTCCTGGCTTCCGAGGGACATCAAACCTGGGTCAGGAAAAGAAAAAGAATTTTAGCAAGAAGATTAGTCATTTTCTTTTAAAAGACTAGAAATAACTTTGTTCTACAAGACTGCAGTTTTAGAGTAATGTTCTTAAGTAAAGGTGAAATGACTCAAAGTCAAGCTATATCAAGAAGGAAAGATAAGCACAACTTCATTTGGAAAACAATCACTATTTCTACCTTCATCCATTCTAGAGAAATAATTTTGTGATGTTTTTCTAATAATTAGTTATTATTAACAATTCTAATAATAAAAGCTACAAAGCTGTTTCCTCATAACACATGGAAATAAATTGCAATACATGAAAAAACTGCATGTACACGTCAGAAAAGTTGTACAATTTTCTCTGGAGAGAGACTGCACATGACCACACAGAAACCAAATCCAGAAACATGTTCTGAAAATATCACACGGGAGAGGAGACTAAACATGACAAATTTCAGTCCATCAGAAACTTTAAAGCGTTCTCAAATGCTTGCAAAGTTATGAATAAGCAGAAGCAGTTGAGCAAGCAAGCTAAGCTCAGCTGCGTTCTCCTTTCAACACAGGCATACTAAATGCACACGAGAAGACCTCTGTGAACTTTAGAAAAGATTCATTTAATCTCCTTATTTGTCCTTTACCTGAAGTGGTGAGTTGACCTTCCTGCGCTTGTACACATCGGAGTTCTTCAATAGTTTCTTTCAAAGAATCTCTTTCTGTTCTTAACCTCTGAGCAATTGGAAAGAGAATTAGTATTACTCTTGGCACTACAGATCCTTAAAATTAGGCAAGATGCCAGAAGGCACAGCATCAGCACTTAGGAGGAATTTATACACAAATCAAGAGATGATTTTCAAATCAAGGCATCTGAACCTATTCCATAATAGAATAAAGATCAAATACTCCCTAGGAGTACTTGATTCCTTGAGATATCGGGCTATAAGCTACCAAAATCAAGACATCAGTGACACAAAGCGCTGGTGCCAGGGAATAAATGGCATCTATGGGGACCACTCAGCCATCCTCCTTTTTCCCTCACAAGGGGTTGGTTCCAAGGGAAAGGGAAGTGAGATAAGAGACTATAGACTACTTTTCCCTCCTGAAAAAAACAAGATTCAGCCAAGAGGAAGCCAGGAAGGTACACAGTCAACAGAACAAACAGATAGCATTAACTTTACTTTGTCTCTCTTTCAACAATGCAAATCTAAGAAGCAGTTCCACCTCCCCCCTCCTGATGCGTGCCAACTGGCCTTGCTATTCATAAGCAGGTCAGATATGGAAGAAAATCAGTTGCGTGAGGCTCACTCCAAAGAGAACTGAAGAACATTATTGGACCCTACTGGAAGCTAGATAGATGTGCTCTTCAGCAGCGTAAGGCCCATACGCTCCCATTTGGCAGAAGTTCCCCTTCGGCAAAATACGAGAAACTACAGGAAGCTTCGAGTAGTTCAAAAGGTTCTCAAGACTCAAATATGAGAGGAGAGAATGACAATTTAAGAGGCAAGTTGTAGGTTGCTCCAAAAATCAGGATGTGTCCAATGTCACTAAAAAGTATGGACAGACCTCAGCTCTCTGAAGGTGCCGAGTTGTATTGGCTGGTGGCTTCTTGCATCTGATCTTGTGAACAGTTTGATTCAGACATACGTGAGCTTAAATGAATCCAGGACTTGGGATTACTTTGGCAAAGAATATTTTGGTGAGTTGGGACAGAGGCGCGTCTCTTGGATTTTTGAAGCCCGTAAGTTGGACACTGGTTCAACTGCTGGAACAATCAGGATAAGGCAGGCATTCAGTCTGCACAGAAAGCCATCTCACAAACCCCGCGTATTACAAAACTGGTTTTAGCACTGCAATAAAAATAGCCACTCAGCAGAAGTGCTCCAAAATTCAGCTGCTGAAAGCAAGGATCCTACAGCCTGATACTATCTGTCAGAAAACAACAAGTTGATTACTCAAATGCCAGAACATTTCAAGGAACAGAGGAAGCTCTAGGGCTTCTTTTGGACGCCGCATAAAAAGTCAACTCACCCAATCGTGTTAGTATTTATCAGTCAACACACCAAACCAGATAGCCAAAGATATCAGACACTTGCTACGGCACTTTGCCAAAACAAACACAAGGACAAAAAATGGCTTTAGTAGCTGCCTCCGGAATATAATTCACAAGATACCACTACATAACTTTCAACCCAATATAAGCAATATTAATAATACATTAGAACGTGTCAATAGGGGAAGAGAAAGAATAGGAAATACAGGAGGAGAATTATTAACACAAATGCTGAGAGACTCCTTCAACTACAGTCTAATTCTCAGAGGAGCCTAACCATTCAAAAAGATGTATTGACATCAACCTCTGCCACAAAAAACACACCACTTGCCAGGTGGCAAAACAGAAGCCTACAGCCAGCCACAATGGCCTGAAATTCAGATCCTTTGTGCAAGTTGAAATGGTCCACCAAGCAACAGGTAAGCCACAAACACAACCTTACCATTGTCAAACATAAACTGGAGAAACAAACTTTAAATAAAGAGCAGAGCAGGAAAGAAAATCAAAGCACAATATGATGAACACAACTACTATGAGCATTCCACTCTGAACTGAAGGGGAAAAGGAAGTGATGTCAAGGACAGGTATCCATATTAGTCTGTCAATTTAATAAAACACGGAAATCAAAGACCAATGAACAGAGCACAACCAAGAATTTTCAGTTCAAATGCTATCTAAGTTCAAGAGCTGGAAATTTAGGAAAAGACTGGACAGGAAGATATGTTCAGGGAAACGCCTACAAAGATTCTGCCTGATGGACAGATACACTTATACCTTTAACAAGCCTGAGAAATTGGTAACTGAAAGTGCTGGGGATGTTTTTTGAGCTGTTTTGAATCACTGACATATAGATTCCTAAGAAAGTCAGATGGAAGCAAACTGGTGAGAAACAAGAGTATTCAAGAAAAACCTGAAGGATCAGTCTTGGCAAGAGAAGATCGAGCAGACAAGCTCAAAATCACTAGCAGCATATGACAGAGATGACCCATCCTGTGTATATGTTAGCACTAGACGATAGATCAATGAGGACCTGTCATAAAAGAAGGCAGGACTGCAACAGAAGACGTGTCCTTCTACGAGATTCCTAAACTTCTTGCTACAGCAGTCATGACTCCACAAAGAGAAACACGTTATGTGATGTGTCAAAGAGTGTTACTTGGAAAAAGATCGAGTTTAGTTCTAGGGCAATACTGCAAAAACCCTACTTTTAAGTCGTTTTTCAGAAAATACCAAAATCACCCTTGGCATTTATTAACCTTCTCATGGTGAATGGCCAAGAAACAATTCCAGATACTACGTATGAGTGCTTTTCTTTTTAAAAACACGTTGCATATGTTTTCGTACAGTCACCTTTATTCTCTCTTGTACTGTCCCTAGGTTTAAAAAAGATTTTGAAAACAAACATCAGAAAATTAAGTGAAAAAGACTTCCCAATTTAAAAGCTTGCTTTTAAATTTCCAAGCTTGCTGCGGAAAACTGATTTTGATTAGCACAATTCTGTGTAATAAAGGACATAAAGTTGTTTTTACTACTACCAAACAAAACATCTTGACACTTACATCTTTTTCTTTTTGGAGGCTGTCTACTTTTTCTTTCAGCCGTTTGCATTCATAATCTAATTTATCAGCTTTCTTGGATTCTTCAGATAATCTGTTTTGTAGTTCAACTGCCTGCGAGAACAAGAATCAATAATATGTCTGCAAATATTCATATTCAAACAAAGTAGTCAAGACAAAGAAGTCAGTTACCATGCACCACAAGACATGTTTAAACCAAGTGAAATATTTACCTATAGGACATACTAAAAACTGCTTTCATCAGTTGTTCTGTGTTTCAGCCACCATAGTATTTAAATGTTAGGTCTTACCACAAATAAAAGCAGCAAAAACCATAATGTATTTCAGTATATCTAAAAAATAAAAAAATTAAACCCAAGCATGGTCTACAGAGAAAAGTATATAACTCTACAGACCAAAGAGCCTAGGAAAAGCAGAATAATCCTCCTGCTTTCTGAGAAGCCTAGGAAAAAGAGAAGCCTCTGAAGAAATCAAATGCTCTATGCCTTTTGCCATCTCTGTTTCACAAGCCTCGCTCAGAATTCAACCACCCTTTTATGTGACCAGGTAATTTTTCTTGAGCTGAAATTTTCTTAATTTTTTAATATACTAATTTGAAGATTCAGCCATAGACACATAATCTGTTTTCTTTACTTCAAAAGAAAATAAGCTGCAAATAAAGTCTCATATACTCTCAAGCCATAGATTAGCAAAGAGCTTTTAAACTTAGAACAGGAAAAATCTGAAAGGCTAGCAGAAATGCTCAGTGAATGATCAGTGAACAATCAGGCTAATCAGAAAAGTTTCGCCTTTTCACACCTCTCAGACTTTACTGAAGTTCTAGAACTGAGCTTTTGCTAGTAACGTTCATAATGCAGAGAGCATGGAAGCAAGTAAGCTGACCAAAGACTGGCTGCAAATAAGTAAGCTGAAAGAAGACTCAGCTAAAGATGTTCAGCTTCTTCTGGAGTAATACACAAGAAGGCTTTTTTTATGGCTTTGTTCTGGATTCCAGAGAAACTGATTAAATTAAACTGGGAAGCAAAGCAGTTGCCATACCTACGTTAAGGCTGCCAGGCATGTTCTAGTAATCTTTCATTTTCAATACATATAGCTACAGTAAAGTAACTGCCAGACCTGATTTTCTGCATAGCTTTAGTCTTACAATGAAGGACTTTGCTGCTCTTGTTCTTAAATTAAAAGCTGAGTATGGGATGGGGGGCAGGGAGAGTGGAGGAGAGCCTACCGTTTCTGCAATTATCAGAAAAATAACCCAAATGTTAGAGTTGAAAACATGTAGCTTCTTAGCTATGACACCCTTCACTGGGGCTTCCGGAATAACTACAGACACACAAAAACGCAGGCTTTCAACTGTGACTGTGCCCCCCACTTGTAAAATGGGTGTAATCCCACCTCACATGGAAACAAATGCATTAATGTTTGTAATCACTCACAGCAGGATAATGGCACACAGAAAATAGCAGGAGGAAGTAAACAGTCTTGAGTCAGAATTTGGGCAGTGCATAGGAAGACATTCAGCTACATATTCATGCAGAAAAAAAAGAAATAACGAACAGCCATCACATTTCCTGAGCAATATCTGACATGTGGAATGATTAAAGCAGGGATCTTGTGGGAAAGAAAAGTAGGACATACTGTTAAAAATATATCAGAATGCACATGCACAAAGGGGCTGAATTAAGATTACACAATACCATTCCTGGACTCTTCACATTTCAATTTTTCAAGTTGCAACAACAGTTTTGTAAGAAAATACTTATACTCACTTTCAAAAGAGCGAATAAAAAACTCCTAAATAAATGCCATTATATCTCCCAGCACCCTCAACCACTGCTACCCTCATCCCACAAAAACTGCTGGCTGGGGTAAATACAGTAATTTCCTCACAGGTCACTAGAGCAGTTTCAACCAAGCAATTTCATCTACAGAGCACAGAGGATCTAAGCCAAAGTAGCAACTCGTCTGATAACATGACAGATTTCACTACTGGGGCACGCTAGTGCTCAACGGTATAGTATCAGCATCCTTATACCTGCCTTAATTCTTATCATACTACAGGATTCTCAGAAACTAACTTTATGACATTTCACATTCACGCTGTTCTCACATGCGTGCAGCCTCATAACGAGCCCAGCCTGACAAACCTTGAAGGTAAACTGACTCTGTGTGTTCATTCTGAGGTAGCGTAGTAAGGTGAAGGAAACTTGCATCTACCAGGTGAAACATCTGATTTTTAGTTCAGTCTCAGCTAGGGGTACAGTTTTCATCTCTGCTTGTACATACATATCAACAGCTCCCCTGATGTGAAATCTCATCCATAAAACCCAGGGAACGAGGGAGAAAGGTTTGCTGCTGGACAGCCGAAGAATAAATAATGGGGCTGCCCTTTCCAAAAGCCTTACCATCAGTGAAATAAGAGCAACTGGATGCAGATGTCGAGGTTATACAGCTATAACACACGCTCTGCTGTTTAAAGGAGAGAAGTTTGCTACAACCAAACACGATACTACTGGTGCGTGAAAGGCCACTGCCTTCTACCTTTACTTTTCCCTTTGACTATTTCAGCCTTTTTCTTGTCCAGGATTTTTTCTTTTTTTCTCCCCCCTACCCGAGTGGAGTCATTTGGGACTGTATTCCCAATTAGCTCAGGGACCCTGAAACTAATTGCTCTGGCTACTAAAGACAGCCACTTGCAGGGAAACGGCTCTGAAGTTTGAGGAACACACGTTTCTCCAAGGCTTGCAATGTTGTTAGTTGTTGCTTTCGTATCTTTATTCTGCTGTTAAGTGGACGTACAGGGAAGCCTGTAGCATGACCATTCGAGGTTATGAAAAGGCAAGCTACAGAGTGGGCACTGTTTACATTAATAAATCAGGCTTCAGCTGGCCTTGCAACAAAAATCCCACAGTGAGGTCAACTCAATGTAGTGCAGAAGCAGAGAGAAGATAAGAATGTCTTCCACTTTTACAGGAATATGATTACGTGACTCTTGGATAAGCAGGAAAATAAACATACGCTCATTCCAGAGCATGCTGGTGATACATTTGGTATTCTTCTGGGTGCATATAAAAGAACAAAAATGATAAACATCCTCCCCTCTTTATATCTTCTGGACAAAGCTGGACAAATTCAGACATATTAGATAAATTAGAACCTTAAAAAAAAGAGGGAGGGAAAAAAAAAAGAAGAGAGAGAGAGGTTACTTAACCACTGGAATAACTTACCGTGGCTATGGCAGATCCCCTACCAGTGGAAATTAAGTGAAGCATGAATGCTTTTTCTGAAAGACAATGTTCTGTATCAAGCTGCACTACTGAACGTGAGTTGGGAATAATTTTAGCAAACACAACTTGAAATCAGCTAATTTTTGAAAAGTAAGAAATACTGCTTATTGGCAAAGTAAAGTAGGCTTGTAATCATGTGGGAAAGGAACAGAAAAGAAGTATCTACAAAACAAACAACTCTCCCAAATACAAGAAGCTGCTTATTTTGTTTTTACTTTGAGGTGTTAGCCATGCAGTAAAGAGGAAACGCCGAGCAATACAGACAGTTGTTTCACTAGTTACGTCTGTTCTCACCTGTCTCTTGTATGTCTCCAGCTGGCTACGTGCTGCATTGGCCTTCCTTAGTTCTTCCTCCAGGCTCACAGTGTTTTGCATGTACACTGTATTCTTCTCTTCTAAGAGTTTCACTTGCCGCCGCAAATCACCCAGGTCTTCCAATTTCTTTTTGTACGATTCTACTTGACTTTCTAACTTGGCCACTTTATCAGAAGAATGCCTGGAGGGACAGATTTGTATCAAATTTGTACTTGGAAACGTAACAAAACCATACGTCCTGAAGCTTCCTCCATATTATGACTGAACGCAAAAGACATTCTGAGACATCAAGGGGAGCACAAGAAAACAATCATATCCTCACATTACTACATGTCTTGGCTTAAGTTGTCGGCTCCCTCCTATCACCATCTGTCAACTAAAAGTGCTGCTGTTGGAAATGCTTTTAGACAATACCATTCTTTCTAACACATCCTCATTTTCTGCTTCCAATATTAACTTACAATAACAGTTAAAAACTCCTACTCTCCTATCCATTTCTTCCTAATTCTAAACCCATCCTCAGAACCCTACGATTTACCAGGGTAAAGAGTAACATTTTTTGCCCTTCCCTTTGTTTCAACAATAAGCAGGGATAAAAATCACAGTTATCCATCTCCTGGGCAGTCTATGCTTGGCCACAAAGTAGTACCGTGGCAGTTTTGGAGCCTGACTCCTTTTGACAAAAATGTAACACAGGCTTAAATTTATAATATATTCAGGCAATATATTCTCAATCGACCATACGTTGCTTTAAATTATATCCAATTCTAAACTATTCATAGCTTGATTTAAAACATACATCCTTAGAAAAAATCCTGTGTTTGGAAAACTTAGAGAGAAAAAATAATAAAAATCCAAGGAAGGCTAAGGAAGAAAAAACCCCCCCAGCCATACCTGAAAGTGGAACACTAGAGAAAGAGTCCTTTTTGTCCTTATTGCTCTGAGGCTGGATGACTTGAATACATCTGTAACTACCATTTTGATGGCCACAGTACATTTTAGTGCTTGCTTAGAAATTTTTATATTACAATTATTTTAACACAAGTTTACGAAGACTAATTATATGAATTATATGGATTCAAAGTTAATACATTTAAAAAACGGTTAGTGGAACACAGTTTACCTGAGTACATCTATCTCGTCCTTCAAGGACTGAGCCTCCTCTGCCAATGTAGTAAGCTCTTCTGTCTGTTGTCTCAATTCAGCAATTTCCTTTTCTAGTTCTTCACAGCGTATTCGATAGTCATCTTTGGCAGCTTCTAATCTGTAGAAATGAAGTAAAACAGAAAGCAATTTCTCAGCTTGAGCTACTGTCAAGTAATGGAAAGACAAATCCTAGCTTTTTCTGTGGTAGTTATTTTTCACAGAGGCAAGAAATTTCAGCAGAAATTGTCACCCTTTTTTGTCTGGGGTATATGGAGTTTGCACATAAAATCTTTACCCTACAGTTCTGTTCAGCTGGCGAACTCTTTTACACCTTCAGTCATATACACCTGATTGTCAGATGTTCTAAATGATGTAGAGCTCTGATTTTTTTTTTTGATTTTTTTTTTTTTTTTTTAAAATCTGTGCCTTTTACATGTTCAGCATCTCTGAAGAACCAAGCCATTCATTTAGCTATCTGCATTTTGACTAGCCTTTAAAGAATGAAGACCAAATTTCTGCAATGAAGAACTCACGTACGATGTACATAGGGAAAGCTGTATTAATCTGGCAGTGCGCAAAGGGAATAACGAAGAGAAACTTCAGCACAACATTTTTGAATGAATGGAAGAGGACATAAGCTGGCACTGTGATTTTGATCTGAAATTAAAATAAAGACATCTAAAAAAGGAGATATAGTCAATAAAAAAGTACTGTAACTTGGTTTAGGGAGTCCAATAAGAATTTACAAGAATGGAGAGAAGAAGCGATCAACGGGACATTTAAACCAAGTATAACAAAAGTTTTGATCTCGACAGAGCAGAACTGTTGAAGGATACAAAGAGGGAAGACAGGGAAAACAACTGCTGCACAACACTGCACATCACTGAAGTCTATGTACTTCCTGTTTGGCCTACCAGAGCTAGAGAAATAACAACACAGGCAAGTTAATGATACCATACATTAAGAATGTAGATAAAAGAGATACAGGAGCATTGAAAGACAGACCTCACGTACAAGTGAGAAGGAGTTAGAAAAAACTCCAGAGCCTGGAACTAGAGTACCAGGCAGTGCAGAAATTGAAGGCACGGTGAAAATCTGTTCAGTACGAATAGAAACCGGTAGGAAGACTGGGGTAGGGATTGTTCCAAAGAACGGGGATGACTAAGAAGAGTTAAAAGGGTAAGCTATAGGAACATTACTATTTCTTTACAGCGTAGACGTATACAAAAGAAAGACAACAGATAGGTTCAGTGTTTCTCTTGCACACCAGCTACTTTCTCAGGAAACTGAAGGGAGAGCGTGTGTCTGAACGCAGAGGAAAGAGGCCTGGCATGAGAGAGTGGAAAAAAGGTAAAATACAGGAACAAAAGGAAAGAGCAAGTTATACGACCGCTGACAGAAAAACTGGAGAAGGTCATGGGAAGAGGACAGAAAAAAGAAGAAAAAGCAGAAGTGTAGCAACCTACCATAGCGTCACAGTCACAAAGGAGGATGAAAAGTATAGGAACAAGAACGAGAAGATGATGGTGAAGGGACCAGCTCTTTTCAGCAGCCATACAACTTAAGCAGGCAGAAAGCGATGGTGAAAAAGAACGGGTAGGAAGATTAAAAGAGGAAGTAAAGTGTTCGAGGAAATACAAGTGGGCAGCAGAGCTCACTTGCAGAAAATGTTTGTCTTTCAGATATGAAACATCTTGTTTTTAAACTTGGAAGGGGACATGCCCTGCTATTAAAAATACCATGTGTAGTACTGCTCTTAGCAAACTGTGAGCTAGGAATCCCTATACCTAAAAAAAAAAATACAAGCAGAACAATTTGTAAAGAGGAAAGCATGTTTCTTTTCATCCTTACTGATTTTTAAAAAATGGCAGAAGCGACTGCACACAAACAATTTGAAGCAGCTTGCCAGGGTGGGGGGGTGGGGGGACAGCATTTCAACATTAAGACACTACACATTTTTGAAGTCGGAGCTTATGAACAGGCAAATCGTAACATTCACTTCACTGTAAAAGCTTCACTCTTGCGGTTATACCACCCACTACAATAACTTAGCATATCTGCCAGCAGAACCAGAAGTATACAAGTCATGTCTGTTGCCAACTACAAACAGTCTACCCGCTTGTGGCTTTTCTACCTGAATGTTTCCTCTTGGAGTTGTTCTAATTGGGTCTGCAGCTGCAAGTGCCTACGACCTGCAGGGCTGTTGGGATCTTCAATGGAATCAGATTGGTTCAGACGTTCCATCAGGACCTGGTTCTCAGCAAGTAAACTGCTCTTCTCTTCTTGAAGGGCTGCAACCTGTTGTAACAAAAGAACACTGGAATAACCGAGCCATCAGCTATAAAGAGCAGCTCTTCTGTGTGTGCCACAAAATATTAGCATAATCCACAAATGGAAGCATACAGGTTCCAGTACTCGCTTCTCACCAAGAAGATACTGCACCATTAATAACTATCCAAGTGCTATGTGATGTAACCAACGCCTTACAACGTTATGGGCAGGATTTACCATACAGAAAATGTTAATCTTAACAATATTTCTCAAAAGCAGCTAAAGGAAAAGTCTTAGCTATCACAGAAAATGACTTCATCATATTAGAGCCTGCATACTTTTCAAAAAACAAAGCACTCTACAGTAAAGCTTTTTAAGCTGATTTCCAAAAGAAGCAATGCCTATCAGTCACAGGGAGTATCCAAGTCTGGACACCCAAGGCATGGCTATCCCCTTCCTAGAATTTGTTTTAAACCAGTGGTCAACTGCAAGCAGACCTGAAATAGGAACACAAGTCCCAAAGATGATTCAGTTTCTGCCAGTTTTGTGAAAACAGGCAGTGCTGCAGAGAACCCAAAGTGCGTAACTCAAAGAACTGTTGAAGTATGAACTCAAATATTACTAGATAATACAGGATTAACATGCAAGTAGGGAATATGAACTTCTCAACAAAATGAAATGATTCAGTCAGAGCTTGCATAATCAAAGGCGCTAAAATCAGCCGTTAAGCACAAATCAAGGCACAAAGCTTCATTAAGTCTAACAGTTGCTGAACTGCTCGGCATAAGGCCAAACCATATCCCAAAGCAGTTTCACTGAAACTGCCTTTTTGGGGTCCTCGTTTGTACTGTTCACGTCTTCTAGATGAAGCACGCACAGTTTGGAGTAAAGCGTAGTCTAAATCCATTCACAGCTGATGGACTAGAGTAACTTCCAATTGGGTTGTAACTTCTAATTCAACTTGTTATAGCAGCACAACCACTAATTCCTGACTTGAGCCACATACCTTACTTCTTTCCTACCTGAAAGGAGTTTTAGTATGAATCGTCTCAATACTGGCATCGTTGCATCAAGACTAAAGATCATGAACTTTGCTCTGGTAGCACAAATAAAGCGATAGAATTGTTGTGGGATTTTCTTCTTCCCTTCTAAACAGCAGGTTTCCACACTGCCTAAAAATTAACACGCCTCTTTCTTACTTTGGTATTAATACGGACAACAGACAACCTACCTGCATATCTAACTCATGACATCTCTGGGCAATTTCTTCTTTTGTTGCTAGTGCTTCATTTAATTCTTCTGTAGTTTTCTTCAGCTATCATAAACAAGAAGCATTTTAGTTTCACCATTCTCTGTAAACTGTCTAAAAAAATTTTCAACTACATGACCATAAGACTGTTTTTACATTTAGGTAATATACTGGATTTTTGGAGAAGTGAAGCAATTCTGCTTTTAAAAAGAAACAAAGAAGTAAATACGATCCATTTTTTAGTCTGTGTGACGAAAAAAAAAAAAGTATGAAAGTAGTATTTGGTCTTACATAAAATATTACAGTTACCATACTTATTCAGTGAACTGCGCCCAAAACCCCTGAAGAACTTAAGTTTGAAGAACTTGCCAAATCTGAACACTAAAAAAATTGTCAACACCACTTTTCTTTACAGACACAGAGGGCGTAATTTCAGTTTTTATCTACTTCCCAAATATACAAAGGATTGGGAGGTGGAATGTAGGGAATAGACAATTCAGGTAAAATCTGTCTAGTCACTGGGAACTACTCTTACTGCACAACAGAAATGCAATTAACAGGTGATGTAGAAGCCTACCCTTCTGAAAAGGGCACCAAAACGTGTAGGCGGTTTGGAAACACTCAGATACTTCTCTTTAAAAGACTTCCTATTCAAAGATGTATAGCTTTGAAGTTTGCACATGAATGCAGCTAGGATAACAATAAAAATAGAGCTACAAGAAAACTGATCTGAAAAAACATGTAACGTATGTATTTATATAGAGATAGGTATAGATATATACTGTTACATACGATGAATTTTAGATGGACCTTCTACTTTTTCCAAACAGGATCACCATGTCTTATTTTTCAAGTTTTTTTCCTCAAGGCATTGCTGACATACAAATATTACTTCCACCTGCCAGCATTTATGGACTTCTGCAAAGACAACCTGATGGAGGAATGCAGGGAACACCACTGCACGATAATTCGACTGCATTAGAAAAAGACTGGTGAAGCAGGACAGTATTAGCACCAGGCTAACCTCTCTTAAGTATAAACACAACTGGTTTTGCATTTTCTCTGCATGTATCACACAGGGAAGGATTCTCTTTCAAAACTTCTCATCCATATCGTGACAGTTCCCAGGACTGCTTCAAGGATTTGTGAGCCGCATTTAAATCTTTTTATTGACTTTGAAAATGGGAGATGGCAAAAAAAGTTGTGTGTCAGTACTACAACTCTTTTAATTCCTTCTCATTATCCAAAGATTTGCACTGGTCTTCAATTTTGCTATACCACAGCGCCATATAGTTAATATTATTTCCCAAAATGAGTTCTTCTTTCCTTTAAATACAGCAAAATGGGTAAACTCAGTCTATAAAGCAAAAGGACTGAAAATATTAAGATTTAATTTTCTACTTCAATTTATTTGAATTTCCCACAAAACCATTCCATGATTAAAGAAAGAGACAGACTTCTTAAGAGCAAAGCAAAATGACTGGGCAGCGATTTCCTATGATTAGAGGAAAAGAAACATCTAGGCTTAGATACCTGACGATCAAGGTCAACGTAAGCATCATTTCCAACAGAGACTGGAGACTCTTTACTCATCAACTGCAATTAGATTACACTGGATTAGAAAAAGCAAAATATTTATTTGTATATTAAAAGCTAAGCTTCAAAGACAAACCAAGCTGATTTTAACTTCTGGGAGCTTCATTTTAACAACAATAAAATTATCCATTTCATTTTTATATGTGACATAACCAGAAAAAAATGTAGAAAGAAATCTTCAGAATTTATAAAATTTAAAAGAATTTTAAGAAATTTAACAGAAAAACAGACTTGCATAGTCACTTTTTCTTCTGAAAAAGCACATTCTTTATCTATCTTGAAACCTACAGTACTTCTTGCAGAGCATTTCACTGAAGCAGCATTAGAACGGTAGCAGCTATCAAAGTATCAGTCAAGATCTGTCTCAAATTGTTAGGCCAGAGGGGTTTCATTTTTGGATTGTTTGGAAGTTCACAACGACTTTTTTTCCCCCTAAGTAAAGCTGGGGACATAGCTAATTCAAACAACTGTCTCAAAACAAAGATAATCAATCCTCCTGCTCTGAATTTGTCTGTAACTTGTAAATGAAAAAAAATTATTTGCAAAGATTATTTTTGAAACAAATATTACAATTCTTCATATATTAATCCATTTGACTGCAAGAAAGTTTCTTGGGTTTTCAGTTGGGAAAAATATGACTTTTAAACCATAACTTTCTGAAAATAATCTCCAAACTGACTGATGTGCTTACTGAAAGAGAAAAAAAGCTGATAAGAAAGCAAACTTTCTTTCAATAACCACACTCACTGATCAAGAAAAAAACATTTAAAAATCAGCTCAATTGTAACAGAACTCGTAGACCAAAGACCTCTTCCCAACCACCTCCAGCAAACATACTCAGATGATGTTAAGGCTGAAAGTTGTAGTCCGCTCCATAAGAGGTAAGAACAAACAAGAACTCCCCCAAATAACAAGTACGTTGCAACTAACTCAAAAGGAAGCATTATGGAAGCACGTTCGTTGTTTCTGTGGTAGTAGCAAGATACGAAACGTTTTATGAGTTTTCGGTGACAGGACTCATGGAAGTTACGAACAAAAAAACCCTACCCCAAGCAAAATTAGGGCTAGGTTCTTCCCCTCCATGTTGCCTAGGCTTCCTGTCCAGCCTGGTTACTCTCTCCAGAGACAGCTTCCATTATTTCCTCCAGAAGTCAATGCTTTAACATTACCTTTCACTGGCAAGGTTCTGATACACAGCACAGCTCTTTCACTTCCCCTCCATTCTTTCTGTTTAAACCACTGTGAACGGTAGTAAATCTCTGCGTATGACATTTACCTCATTCAAATATTTATACACTTATGACTCTCTCCTTTTCCTCCATCTCCTTAATTGGGATTTAGCAGAGTCCTACATATTTAAATTCATCTAATCTTTTCTCAAAAGTCCCCCCAGGCCTTGACCGCATTTGTTTCTAACTGCTAAACTCCTTCCGTTTTGTCTACATCACTTCGATGACAAACTACTCAGAAATGACACATTCCACGAAGCCTAGACCCTCTGGAAGAAGAATCAGAAAGCCTCTAGCCTCAGAGCTGTCTCCCTCAAAAATGAAGTCACTATCTTTTTCTTTTGCCATATATAGTGGCATTATAAACTTGTATTTACTTTAGGACCACGTTTTCTAAGTGGAGTATCATTCTGCTATCCAAAACAAGAATTTCCAATCCCTCTCTGCTCAGTGACGTTTATCTCTCTCTTAATTGCTGTTTTACTACCCTTTACTTAAATCCTTTTCCAGATAACTAAAAATATTGAATTTTTCTCCCCGCTCTACACCCTGCTACACCACTCTCAAAAACATTTCCCTCACCACTACAGACACTATTTAAACAGTGCTCTTTACAACAGTACTCTCTAACTTGCAGGACCCAGGCTGCACGCAGCCTGGAAGGGACAATAACGTGACCCTGACAATCACCACCCCCTTTCTGGTCCTAGTACAACTTGCTCTTCAGAAACGCAGTGTAAGAGCCCTGCCCAAGCATTACGGTGGAGGAATGCAAGAGGCCGTACAACCCACTAGAGGCCACTGCGGTGTTGCTGCTTTCTGTGGATTACTACAAAGGAAACAAGCCAAGGCCAATAATATAATCCCTTCATTTTTCAACGGCTTTTAAAAAACAGCAGGAACGTGAAAGAGAAGAGGACACTGGGTAGAGAAGGATCAGGCACTGAAGACTCAAGGTACAGGGGTGTAGGCGGATTGGGAATGGTACACCAAATCGTGGATGGAAACGGGTAGGGTGGATCAGGAACCTGGGGCACAAAAATCTCATGGTAAGTGTTTATGACGCACTGAGGGCAAGAGCCACAGAAATGCATGCAGATGATGGACTCGATGCAACCATGGAAAGACAGGAAGCATCTTGCAATCTTTCGGTGTTCTGGTGGGAACGCTAATGAAAGATCTAAGGCTTGGAGTAGCTGGGGGAGTCTAGCAAAGCGAACCAGACAAGGCATAAAATTGCCAGATTACTCGAAAATGACACAGGAATGAGACTTCTGATCAGCGGTTAACAATAAGCTCAGGTTAAGAAGCGGGGTGAGGAGAGGAGAGGGCAAGAGTGTTTTCAGGGTGAAGAGGGAGCTCCTCCATCGTCTCCTGCACATCTCCCCACATATATACCATTGCCTTCTCCAGTTTAAGTGAATGCCCTGATAGTGCTCTGCTTTTAGTTTGCCTTTTCCCAATTTCCCTCCTTTTAAAAGGGGATGCTTTCTCCTAAACAGCTCAGCCAGTACGGTACAATTCCATCCACATATCCAAACTAATCTGATTTCTAAAAGATTTCCTGAAAATTTCAAGAAATGCTTTAATGAATACTGTATTGTAAGAGTCCACGCAGACATATAGGTCTACTGAAAATACACTTTCCATACATCCGAAAAACAGAAGCTACATTGGACTGGCCCAATTTCCCCTCTGTCCTTGATATCGTTTCTAGTCAATCAGCATGCTCTGACAGTACTGAAGTTCAGAACTCCAGTAGCTAACTGTTTGACACCATGTTATCCCTTTCTGAATTATCTAGTACTAATCTGGCATATAAGTAGCTTGTTATTACGTTTTAAAGCAAATTTCCTCAGTGTGTTCTGCTGTGTATCTTCTTCATTTGCAAGTTCGTATTCACTCAGACTCCGGAATATTTCTGTAGTTCTTCATAACTGTCAATGACCAGCGCTTCATAACCAACCTGCAAGTCTGATATTAGACCAGGGGGTCTTGGGAAGTATTGGCCAACATCAGTATTTCAGGCTTGAAGAGGCTTGCAGTTCATTTGTTTCCAACTTCTGTAATTAGCTGATTCTTGAGAATAAGTGGTCTTCTCATTCTCCTTTCACAGCTGCCAGTTTTCCTTACTCCAAAAGCAAACTACAAGTGGGCATAAAGATCTACCTCACAGCTTTGCAGCACTGGAATGGCTTTCAGCTTCAAATTCATTTTCCCCTGCAGCTTTAATGAATAGTGATGTGCACATATTTTTCAACTGAACTGGTTTAAAAAAAGGGGGAAATGAAAAAAGTGCATGCAATATTCAGCAACAGACATCATGTCTCTACAGTAAAGGAACAGTCTGCTTAAGAGCTTCCAACAGTGAGAAAAGCAAGCAATTAACACACATTTTCCCCTTCTTATTCTGGTTTATTGCACATGTTTAGAATGAAGACTTTAAAGTAGCATAAGTATGTGTTCAAATAATCAAAACGTCATTTAAAATCAAATGAACTTTTTCTGTGGTGAAGAACTCATTCTGGATTTTAAAAGGCACAATAAGCTGGGCAATGAAACTTTTTTTTCCATTTCTTAGTCCGGTTTATATGAGAAGCAACGGCACTGCTTATTTCTTATTCTCTTCATGCTAAGCTTTTACATCTATACATTTTCGTGTGCTCAGCTTTGGGAAGAAGCCTTACAAAATAACTTGTAGATCTGCTAGTTTTATATTAAAGCCTTTACTTTTTAACTGCCTTGCTTGTGAATCTCAATAATTTGAGTTGTCATGGATACATAAAGATTGAGAGGAAGATCAGACTCTCACAAAATCTGCATACATCAATAATGTGAAGTATGAACTTTTTTCTTTTCTATAAATGACTAGCATGATTTTACAAATGCAGCTGGCATCACTTACTTGATGTGCTTATAACTTTAAAATACTTGCTTTATATGAAATGCTTCTACAGTTGTCCACATTGCGTAAGCTCACCTCAGTGCCTTCAAAACTATGTCAAGCTCTCTGTTCTGTTTTCGGGGGGGGGGGGGGGGCTTTTTTTTTTTTTTAAAGATCTAGAGGCTATATCTAAAATAACCTATATCTTTAAGACAGCAGAACTTTCCCCTTCCCCAAGTATTGTTGATACACTCAGTGAAATATTTTTCTATCATTTTCTGTCTGTTTGAAAGCTGCTTTTACATAACACAAGATGAACCTTTAAATAGTCAGGACTCAGTGCAGGAAAACAAGCAGTTTCTGCTTTGTGGAAACAACAGATGAGTTATTCTTGCCATGCAACCTAAACAAGTTTTGACACTACTTCTACTACTCATACTCTCAACTTGACCTGCACAGAGAAAGGAAAATACCTGCTAAGAGAACGCATTCAAAGACGTTCAAAACCGGTAAAGGCAAAAATTTTGCCCCTCCCCCTGCCACTCTGATCAAAAAAGAAGCTTGTCTGCTCAAATACTTAATTACCTAAAGGACTTGGGAAAAATAACAGTAGAGTTTCCAAAGAACATCAAGGAAAATGAGAAATTACATAATGGACAAGTCATTTTTGTGGTAATTGGTTTTCTGGAAAGATTCTTGGCTATTAAAAAAATCTGGAAACTATGAAATTAAAAATAAATGTTGCATTATACATAGTAACATATTACCATACGATATGTTGAATTAATTGCAAGTAATATATTACAAATGATAAACAAAATACACAACTGAATGTTATGTAACATACATTATACATCATATAATTTATAATTGTATAATACATATTTTTGGTATATGTTTTGCTAGCTGTATCATTCTTGCCTTTCCTCTATCCTGCGCACAGCTTGCATTTGGAAATGCACATCTGCAGATTAGAATCTACGAATCTAACCAGCAGTAACATCAATTTGCACTGCAAAAATGACAGAAAAGCACTGCTAAATTCTTATGTTCTCTGTAAAGTGCAAGGCATATTTTGATTATTAGTGCTTTATGGTAAACATTTAAATAAAGGAAATGCTAAAGGATCACAAGGAATTAAGAAAACCGAAGTCACTTCAGCAAATATATTTTCATATGTATAATGCTCATTTTGCCATTTGAAAAACAGCTTTTTCATGCATAAGCACAACACGGGAAAAGATGCTTGTTCAACTGTGGCTTGAAAACATTATCATGAGTACGACGATATATGAAAATCAAAGAAATATCAAAAAATATTTATACATGCTTTGCTGAAACAGAAACATGAACTGTACAATACATTAGTAGAGATTGAAGAGGTCGTTTTATATAGCAAAATTTGAAGAACGCATAACTGCGTGTCAAATGCTTTGAAATGTCTGGATTAGATGACATATCAATTTCTCCAATATGCATATATAGCTACTTTACTAAGCTTTTTATTTTGGTGTCTCCTACGTGCTACTTAGTCCAAGTCACTCAGATTCTGAGAGCTGCTCTAAAAAGCCCCTGCAAGAGAAACAAACTCCCTAAACCCTGTGAAGTTTCACCTTCCACAGACAGACTGCCGCTGCAGCTCTGAAAATAGTCCTGGTATCTAAACTCTTATTTCTGAGTACGCTTTCTGGCTTCACTGGATAAGCATCTAAGAACCTCCTCATTTGGTTCTGAATGCCTTCGACTTCTAATCAGTTTGGAAGGCAGCATTAAAATCTCACCAATCTGCACCGCTCCATGGATGGAAATGCCTGTGAGCACACTGAGTTTCCACATCTGTTCCAGATGAACAGACCCTCATTCGGTGTTTTCTCCTCCAGTTTTCTCTTCCCTGCCTCCCAAAAAGGGCATAAACACTAAAGACGTTTCATGTCTACTCACCAAATGCCAAGATTACGGACTACTTAAGACATGGCTATCTTATCAGAGTAGAAGTAGCATTCAGGAGATTTTTAGAAGACGACGACGACCAGCTTTTTTATTTTAAGACAGTGCCACATGAAGTATGCTGAAAGTTTGGTTGAACCGAACAGGGGAAACACAACTACACAGTTCTTGTGCTTTGTTTAACAAAACACAAGAAAACCCATGAAAACATTATCCTCACACCTTAAATAAATAATCCCCAAATATCCCTAAACTTAGGCAAACTCGTTGCTGACTGATGATGCCAGCACTGACTGGAGGGTGATCTAGCATAAGAATTCTTTTAAAGCTCATTTTGAAAATCCTCTGTCTGCAGTTCTACTCCCAAAAATGACTATACTCAGCCAACAAGATGCAAGACTGCATGGATGCAGCACTGGTCAAAGCGATAAAAGGGAACGAGGACCTTGACAGCTCAGTGACATCTCTTTCTCTGTTCAGAGACATAATACAAAAGACAAAGTGCTCTAGTGTTCAATGTGGAGTTCAGTTTTGCTTGTTTACATTCAGAAAAAAGAGGATTACCAGTGATGGCCTGTTAAAGGAAAGCCATACTAGAAGAGACGTTAGGAATTGTTATTTTCCTCTGAAATAACTGTTATGCTTTCTTGTCAGAAGGTACACCAAAATTTTTATTTTAGATTTCCTGCTTTCTTTACTAACCTGGCCTGCACTACACCTCCATCTATGAAGACTGACTTTGAGCACAGGAGAATTCACTCAAGGGTTTCAGATGGCAATAGTGGTCACTAACACTGCTTTAATTTTCTTCTCTCCAATCTGCCACCATTTGTTTTTTCAGTATGGCTCACCAGGTAGATAAGACCATGAGATCCCTTACTGCGCACAGAAACTCTGCAGGCTAATCACTATAAAATCACAGCAGAAAAATGGTCTTTCCCACTGCTGTAGACTTGAGAATTAAGCAAGTTTCCTGCTACCGAACAACACTTTTACAAAATACTCTCTAGTACATTTATTAATATGCTACAAAGTATTATCTTATCCAGTAAAAAAAAAAAGAAAAAGAAAAAGAAAAAAAAAAGCAGTAGTCATGGAGTTCTGCAATTATAAGGTGCAAATTTAAAAGAAATTCTACAGTTTTGGCTACTTATATAAAAGCAGTCTAGTGTACTTTAGGAGCCACAGGGTAGGAAAGGTAAAGGAAGGGGAACCCAGTATCAAAAATATCTAGAAGTTTAAATCTTCTAGATTTAAAGAAAAGTGGGGCATTCAACCAGAATTCCTTGACATAAAGCAAGCTTGATTGAGTTGTTTTTCTAAGGCAAAATAAGAAGATACTCTTCATTCTAAAACAGCAAAATCCATGGCCCTTATTTTATCCAACTAAATTTTTTCAAAGTGGGAAAAGGTATGGTTTTGTGAAATATTGAAAGGATGAACTTTTACACGCTATGGGTACTCCAGCATACCTCCTGAATGGCTGTCATGACAACATGTTGAACTGATTCTTCCATCATCATTATGGTCTGGATGTACTCTGAAAATAAGAGCATTCTGGAATGTTACTGCTGCAACCTGAGAGAGTCGCACCGAACACGAGGTCAGCAGTCGTATCTTCTCTATAACCTGAGTAGGTGCTACAGATGACACTGACATGCATAATCATCTTTCAGGTCCCACTCCAACAAATTCAAGAACACACTATTAGAAGTCTATTCAGACATAAATTCAGGCTCACTGGAACACTGCAACAGTCAGAAACACAGGTGTATATAATGGCCATCCTTTTCTTTTGGCATCTCATACCTTGACTTCTGAAATAACGACGCATTCTCCAAATACTTTTCTCCCTTTGTTCCCAAAGGATTCTGGCCATACAAGTAAATGATTGAAGGACGAGATGCCTTTTCCATGAACTTAAGATTCATGTCCCGCTTTTCTACAGCCTTCCCAAATAGGTCCTCTTCATTGCTTTCTGCCTATTTCCTATTTCTGTAGTGGTTAAAATGGCAAATTCTGATGTTTAGATCAAGTCAAGGAATTTATGACTTGCTCTGTATCACATGGTTTCCAATTGGATATTATGATCATTTTTATACGCCAAATTTATTCTTTTTGTGGTTTGCCCAAGAAGATGATGCTGGGGATCAGTCACCTTGAAGCGATTAACTACATCATGCCAAGTCTCACTGAAACTACGTACAGCTTTGTTTAGATGGTTCCACCATATACGCTTTTAATATTCACACTGGCAGAGTATGAGAAGTACCGGAAAAGGTATTTCTCATTAAGGAGGCCAAGTAACCACCAAAAGGAAGGGAGACAACTTTTATTCAAAACAGAAAGGACAGGAGGCCTCTGTTAACATAGCGGAGCTATTCATGTATTCGTGGAAGAAAATCACCTCTGTTCTAATTTAGAGGATGGCCAGGCTGTCTCCTGCTTAAAGGAAGAATAAGAGCAATTTCAGGCTGACAGACCAAAATGATTTAGACACCTGAGAAAGCTGCAGAAGGGAAATTAGCTATAAGAGCTAAAGGGTATCAAAGCGAGAGGAGACAAAAGGTCTGAAATCCTGGCTACCATTCTGGCAGATGGGAAAGAGAAATGAGGTAACTCAGGGAAGGACAGATCTTTGATGTAACCTTAATGTAAACAGAGCAAACATTTCCTTTCACTTATCCCTCTATGTTTTTTATAACAACCTCTTGCTATGCTTTCTGTCTTAAGCATTAAAAATAAAAGTTCGTAGTTGCATTGCTACCTTAACTTGGCTTAACCACATTCTCTACCGTATCTGCAGAGGAACTGACCGGCTCCCTATTTCGCCTGTTCAAGTCAGATAGAGAGCTGGCACAATGGGAGACACGGGACACAGAAGTGTCTTCCAGTGGCCAAAGTCGGCTGCCTCTGTTGCCTAACAGAGGCCTGCAGTGGATACCCTTAAGGTATCAGGCTTGCTCTCCAGCTGCTGTCTAGAAGGGCACAATCATTCATATTCTTGTGCCCTATTTGCCAACCCCATGCACAAGTCTTGCAAACTCCAGCGTCCTAAACGGCATCAGATACCTCTTCAGATCAACCCCCAGTGATTCTGATGGCTGTCTTGCGTGTAGTAAGATACAGAGACACATTCCTGAACCCAAGGTCACACAAAAGAGGATGACAATCATACTTGTAGATTCTTAACCACTCAGAACTACCTCACACATAAACGGTTAAAAGCTGGGCCCAGGAGTTTCTCTTTGCAGAGTTCCTTCTCAGCTCAGCTCAAAAAACCTGAAATTACAGTATCTTGGAAGCACAACCAGTTCCACAGTTTGAGACTGCAAAATCAGCGAAGCTCATAACAAAACAGCAGTTACTACCTGTGAAACAAAATAATGTCACGACTTATAAAAATAAATTTGTTCCTGACAACAACCTAAGAAATATCATTCTGCCCTAGGTGATTAACACAACAATTTAGACTGCCACTCACTGCCCTGGAAGCAAAATATACTTTCAAAATTCATTACCTTGCTTCTGTTCACAATTTACAGCACATCCCAAAATGAGCTGAAGCATTCTTCCAAGCTCCGCAGCATCAGCGTGCTCTCCAATGAGGTTAACGTCAGGAAGGGTGAAGTCATTAATCTGTTGCCCTAAAATCTGTATAAAGAGCCAGGACATACATGTCTGTATCACTGTACAGATGTGTACAAATTCAAAAACACAAAGATGATTCAGAATCAACAGGAAGAGCTCACTTTCTATTTTAATATAATTTTCAGTCCATCTTCAAAACTAACTGGATTGCATAATGCCAGCTTATATACGGAGTTCCAAGTAGAAGGCCATCCGTAACACTTGACAATATTTGGGAAAACTTAAACATGACTGTCTCAACTGAAAAGAAATCATTCATTTCAATCTTAGTGAGAATTACTTTTTTCCTCTGGAGAAGAAAAGGTAACATAGGCAAGCTCGAAAGAGATGATCAACAACACTTGGATAATTAATTTTTATAGAGCATTACATTAAAACGTCTAATGCTAAAAACTTTTTACCTAGCACAAAACATGACATCTGAGTCTCGCATTTCATACCACTGGAAAGTCAAGACATTAAAATACTTCACTTATGCAAAAGTATCCAGCACTAATGGATGACAGATATAAGACACTTTCTTAAGATTCAAAGATATTTAGCAAGTCCCAGAGCTAAAAAAAGCTAATTCCATGGAAAAGAATTTGAGATAGTAGCAAAATACATAATTAAAAAGAACATATGCAAATATAAAAAAAAGACTGAAAACGGAGAAAAAAGAAAAACATGTGACTTACAATTAATGTAATGTGATTTATAATTAAGAAGGATTTACATTAATGATTTTCAGCAGAAGGAATTAAGCAATTCTGCTAGATTGTTCTCAAGGAGCTTTCAGGGGGCTGAAAATATGAATATGAAATGTGGAATTGAACACATCTGACAGATTAATTGCAGATAAAAATGAACTGTCATTTCTTAAGCACAGTGCAATAAAGACACAATGACTATGGAAGGAATCAGTCATTTGTTTGCTGAATGCTCTTTTTTATTTTAACATGCAAGAAAAATAGAAAAGCAGGTAGAGGTATTCATGAAAAAAAACATTTAACAGATGTACATGAAGAATATGTAGAAATGAAGCCGTTAAAAAGTTTTCCAAGGCTGAGTCTTGTGGAATCACTGTCATTGGGTTTTTTGTTTTGTTTTTTAGCAAGTTTTTTAAAGAATGAACACTGCTGCTAAGATCTCTGTATGCGCTACAGAATTCAGACCCAATCTTCCCACGAAGAGACTCCTTTTAGGTCATTCTAGTGAGAAACAGAATTCTACGAAAGCATCAAATACAATGGAAAATGTTGCTATTGCATATAGACTGCAAAAATGCAATCAAATACAATATTCTTGGAACGATGCTAGCCTGTTTATATTTTGTTCTGCATTTCCTGAATTTGTTTCAAATACGGTGCTGTTTTCTAAATTAAAAATCATACAACCATTGCTTTATAACTAATGATACTACAATTGCTGTTGGGGAAAGGTGACGGGAAGAGGCATGTCAGCGTGCACTGCAGAAAACTGGAAGAAGCGAAGGTGCAAACTGAGGATTTTGAAATCAACTTAAAAGACGCAATGTTAATACAACAACAAATCAATGAAATAAATAACAAAATGAAGGCTAGACTCTGGAATAAATATGTTAAAAGGAAAGGACTTTTTTGTCTCATGTAAATAACAAAGATTTCTGAAAAAGAATGAAAGTTTGAATGCCAGAGCAGTAGAGTTCTGCAACAAGATTACAGGAGCATCATTAAGCATACAAGCCTCTGAACAAGAACCTTGGGCCTCCTATTCTTCCATAGTATAATTGACAGAGAAAGCAACGTCAGATAGCTATTGAAAGCCTGCATGCAGCATAAATTCTGATATTTCCCTAAAATGAAGCTGGCTAACAAACTTTTCAAAGATTTTTAACGGTTAACAGGTAAAATCCAAATATATTCAGATCTGTATCGTGCAGAAGGTCTTTGGTGAGAGGGGGAATCTGGATAAGAAAAATATAACGAGGACGCATAGCAGAATTCAGAACATCTCTACTATCGCTACAAGCAGCACTGTTTCAACAGAGCTAGTCAAAGTTATAAATATGCATTATTGTTGCAGAGCTTAATCAGTCTTTACACTTTGAAACTTGTCGACTTACCAGAGTAATAAAGTTTCCATACAAGAAACTTAGTCATCCTACATACCAACTAGCTCAAAAGAAGCTAGCAGCAATTTTCATAGCAACATTAATATGGTATTACAATATTTATTTTAATTCCTTTATTACAATATTATTACAATATTATTAATTATTATTTATTGTAACTCATTAATTTAGGAACTATAATAAAACTGTTCTTCGACCTTCTTCACAATAGAATTTTCTACCATAAAGCTATAATGGAAGACTCTTTTAAACGTAAATGAAAAGTTAAGTTACTTAGAGATTTGTATGTGAGGCAAGCATAGGGACTCACATAGGTTTTCCAATGCCAAATCACAAACATTTTACACTGAAACTTAATTTTTTTTTTTCTGAAATGATCAATTATTGCCCACTCACTTAAACATCAATTCTCAAAATTATGATTTGAGCAAGGATACCTAACCATTTACTGAATATGAGCTTATGAGTCTAACTTTCTGTTTCTCAAAATCCATTCATTTTGAAAGACTTAAGTATATTAACAAATCTCTTCCTCCACAAAGTACTTATAAGAAGCTAAGATCGTTTCTTAGGATAAGCAGTGCTCAGAATGAACATACTATGGATTTTGTCCTCTAGTCTGTATTAATCAATTTGCTCCAAAACATCTCTGAATTTATAATCAAATTCTAGCTGAAGTTTCATCACTGGAAAAATGTTGTGTTGTTTCTCCTTTGGAGTGGTTCATTTCTGAGTTTGCTCAATAGCCTAACAGAGAACACCACGCACAGACCGATTAAGAATTAAAATTCCAGGAATTAAAACACTAAAAAAAAACTTCCACAGAAGGAGATGGTAACAACGTTCCTTCCTCCTCCACCTCAAGTAAAAAAGGAAAGGGGCACTCTTCAGTTAGAGCAGAGAAAAAACAAAAACAAACAATCAAAAACAAACAACAATAACAAAAATCAAACAGAAGCACCACTTACAGCCGTGATCAAAAAACAGCATCAAAGACGTCTACTATTTGTACAACGGGGCCTGCACATTAGACTCATTTGGAAGCTCTGAGAGCGTACGATAAAATAGGTGAGAAGTTTTAGAGAAGGCCAACCCCTGAGAGCGGGCCATGAGACAGCCAGTATGCCAAATACTTTGAAAAAGTAGTAAGGACCTAATGAATTTGTAGGATAAAATTTACGTTAAGTAGATTAACAGAAATACATTCATTCTACTTTTGTTAACGTATTTTAATTAAAACTGTTCTTACCTCATGGTTGTAATCCAATATCCCTTTCAAAATTTTCTTCAGGTTGCTTACCTATTTGACAGAAAGAGGAAGGAAAAACAATAAATGCAGGGAATACATTACAGAAACATGATCATAAAGTAGGCAATCAAGGAATAATCACACGGAAGAACTGTACAACTACATCTATTTGCACTCCAGTGAGACCTTCTGTTTGAGCGGTTTAAGTTAGAATTATGGAAGTTACACAATTGTCCTTTGTGATGAAGTTTCCAGATCTGATCACAAACCCATACGAATTGGCAGAAACCATTTAAGCCTATGAAAAAAACAGCACATAGAGTACTTGTCTATCTTAGGACTTTTTTGGATCTGAAAGTTAAAAACATTCTTTTCCCCTTTTTCTTTTCCTTAAATGTCCTACAGATTTACTTTTCAGAGATGTGTATCTCCACTTCCAAACCAAAATCAACTACTGCTCAACACTCTCCTTCCTCCTCAACCTACATAGGTAAAAATTTTTAATATTCGCATTAATTACTCCTCTTAGATGCTTCATTTTAGTTGCCCCCCTCTGAATTCTTGACAACTGAATGTCTGTATTACAGCATCAAGGCAAGATCCCAAACTTCTCAGGAAGTCTTCAGTGCCATACCAAGACAGCTTCTGTTTCACTTACATAACTAAAGGCATAAGTTAGATTCCATAGAGCATGAGGTACTTATGCTGTACTTCTCCAGTACTGAGGGGTTTCTGCTCCCTTTCTGGCAAAAATCCATTTAGAACAAGTTTCAGATGAAGACTGCACGAAAAATTTTTAGAATCCACAATGGTCCTCACAGATGATATTTAGGATAAACAAATCTTTACTGAAAGTAACTGCTACAGATTCTCACCAGTTAACATCACAGTATTTAAGCAAGTTGTTTAGACAATGGAAGCGGCATACTGTCTCATATGATAAGAAGATTAAAAAACAGATTGAACAGAAATGAGGAGGATGGTTAGAGACTGAATAATCACATCTCCATCCATTCATTTTTATCGTAGACCTAGACAGCTCAAGATTAACGAGTTAGGATTCACAAGTTGCCTACTGCCAACAACAGTAGGCACAGTTATGAACTACGGAACTATAATGGAGGGGGAAAACAAATCAAATCATAATTCTCAATTCATAACTGTCTTTAAAATCTGCAATAACTTGTGTTCTTGATTATATTCTAAAAATACACAACAAAGATGCATAAATTCGGCAGTGGACAGACTATCTTCCAAAAGGCCTACTACAGAAAACAATTAAGAGGACATGATACTAAAAATCCAAGGACAGACTAAACACTCCAACACAGTCAACAATTAGAGAAAACAAAAACAAGGTGATGAAAGCTAAATTTGGTTCCTCTCGTGAGAGGAATTCAAGAATGGAACACATCACAAAAGATGTAGCCCTGAATTCTAAAGTGGTAACGATGAGACTACCTCATTCCTTCTAACTTCCTCCCCTCTGGAAACCAGTGGCAAAAAATGAACCACTTGCAAACACATAAAATCATCCTTGGGAAAGTTTCACAATTGTCTTGACAATCACTGAACTTTAAGCCATATGAGGAAAGACATTCAAACTGGACATCAAAAATGACGTATCAAATACTCCGGCAACCTGAAGTGAGAACTGGAGATGCTACATGATAACATGCAAATAACTGATTATTGTCTCTCTCATAATGATTTTAACAATTAGTTTACTTTTAGATTTGTCGCTTCTCCTCCCATCAAAAGTGTTTTCCTTCTGATGTAATAACTACAACATTCTTCTAGCTCTCTGCCCAAAGGCAATCACTACCATCTCTCAATGGTTACGCACAATAAGAACCAGAGTCTGCAGCAAATTTAAGAATTTTAAGAAATACAAGTAATTTAATTGTGATCAAATGAAGAATAGTGTACTGATTGGAATATAATTTTCAAACTTGATTCATTAAAACATTCCATTTTGTAATTTACCTGAGTCTGCTGCAGAAAGTGCCACAGAAACCCAAGGGCCAAGCTGCAGAATTTAAGTCCAGTTTAGCGACGAGAACACTGTGAAGAACCTCGAACTTGAAAATAATCCCAAAAATGAGAGAAATAAAACAGAAAGTACTAGTCTAGGAAAATACTGCTTTCTGCCTTTCCCCATGACCATTGTTTAATGCTTTATCTCTTAACAGAAAGAGTCATTTTCCTCTATCCTCCATAATTTGCATATAGCTTAGAGCTGAGATGCGAGAACAACAACAACAAAAGTTTATCATAATCTGTCATCACAACTAGCATATAGAACAGTGCCCTCAGAAAAGGAAAACGGGAAAATAAATCTGGAAAAATCTTCTCTTTGAGGCCCTGTTTTATTCCATTCTCAATCAGCAGGACGAGGATAACCTTCTTGCAAGAGTTAACTGCACCATCTTGTCATCAGACACACTCAGGCAATTATAAAGCTAAAGCAGCTCCTTTATAGACTAGCTTAAACTTAACAACGATCTTCAGTATTACTGGGAGAAGAGGGAGCCCCTCTTGCCTTGTTTTTCACTTGTCTGCACTAAATACACTTAAATGGGTCTGCTGCCACTGGCAGAAGAAAATCATCACGGGAAACTACCACAAACGTTTTCTATTTTGAGATTCAACTCAGTGGCGCCACTAACATTTGACAGGTCAGAGTATAAATTCTTACCAAGACGACTCTAGACAGAGATGAATGAAAAAGAACAACAGCTATAACAGAAAAACACAGTAAAGTGCTAAAGACAATTGATTACCCCTAGAATACTAAATCACAGCAGGTAACTGCTATTAAGATTTTTCTTCTCTTCTTCTTAAGCACATGAGGAAGAGTATAACTATAATTTGTTAACAAAGAACATTAAATCACGCAAAGCATGTGAGAAAGAACACAATAAGAATAATTTATGATATGGATCACATCTATAAAATGCTGTATCATCCTTTGGAGATCAGCCCATGATCACAGGGGATGCCTACGTGATCAAATCAGCAACCTAAATTCTTCCTTTTCCACATGAAACAGACATACTTCCCCTCCCCGTCACTTCCACATTCACTTCTTGCACCCATACCCTTGTTTGGAGGAAAAAAAAAAAAAAACAAAACAGGAAACTTTTTGGAAAACACAGGGAGAACTAACAAAGCAGTCACAATTCAGAATAGCTTATTTTCTTTTTTCCTCTTAAGTTTTTTCTCCCCTCTCATATGAAATTTCTATTCTTATTTCATTACAAGTCACTCACTAATTCCAAATAGAGGCTCTATAAGGGTATTCTATCTAGAGTTTTTTCTTTAGGAATCTATTTTCAGCAGCAAAGGGAAGAGAGCCTGATGAAATGGACAAGAGAAATGCTATTAAGGTTATGATTACTGACAAACAAGGAGCAAGGGTCATTTAAGTTCTTGTTTTCTATCTAGCGTTATGAAAGCTGGTTCCAGATTTTGCATTTATCCTTATACACATACGACTGAAGTCCTGTTTCTACTGAAGACTCTGGGTAAGGTAAGCTGACTTCCTCCATGTATATTTCAAGTCCTGAAGTGTCTGAAAGGGAACCCTAACCTTCTACTAAACAGTACCTTTTCCGTGTAACTAGGCATAGGCCTATTTTCCTTCACATACGTTATAAGTAACGACCTTATAACCGCTGGAAATGTTACAAGGGCACAGGCTTGCAGTGACGGAAGAATTCTTAACTCTTCAACTTCGGGCAACTAAAGGTAGGTATTCTCCCTGGCTGCAGTTCACAAAGAATGGAGCATGTGCGCATGCACAGTTCCAACCACGTACGTTAGGTTTCTGCTCTAAACTGCATTCTGTAAGAGTCTGTCTTCACTGATTATAAATGAGGCCACCAGAGCCTCATTTATAGCTTCGAGACTTAAACCCCTCCAACCTAGCTTTTGCAAAAAGAATCCCAAGAACGTACTTCTATCTTTGCTCTGCACAAACAGACAGAGATACCTTCTCGAGTTAAGTAACAAACAACAATTTGTTTAAAAGGTGCCTCCAAGCACAGACAGTGTTCCCAGATTAAAGTTATGTTGGGAGACATCATGACTTAGGAGTAGTAAGTGTATAGAAACAGAACTAAATATATTAGTTGCTAATTATCTTCTTGGCAGAAATCAATGCTGGCATGCCTGCAGTCTCTGCTTCTTGCTTGCAGAATTTTGCAGAAAAACATGTTCACACGACAGGCTTCTATCCTTATCAGAAAGAAAAAAGAAAACACTCTAAACAACCTAGAAGGCTGTTCATGAATAAGTGCTCCTTCTGCTACATTCAGAGAAGGATGATGCTGAACACAAAAAACTGGCTACCGGCACTCCACCACAGTAAACCCAGCTTGGAGAGGAGAATTAAATACAAGGATAATGACTGCGTCAGAGCAGGGAGTCAAAACTACCTCTCAAAAATCTGGTTTGTTTACTTGGATTACAGTACTAACTAGTCTGTACTCTAATTTAATTATTTCATTTTGCAATATTGTATGAAACAGATAAATTCAGCTTTGTGAAACACAAGGCATTCAGCAAACTGTTCCAGCTACAAAAAAAAAATCTAATGGGATCAATTGCTTGAATTTACTACTCTGTAATGGAACAAACACAGCTTGCTTGTATAAACACAGATCAAATGTATTTTCAGCTGATGCTGCAGTCTGAATGTCAAGGCAAGTGTCCAGAAGACAGAGTCAGAAATCAAACTGAACAAAATATTTCCTTCCTCTCCCAAGCTAGATAGGGTCACACTGCATGGAAAGGAGAGGG